AAGATCCCACGTGCCGCAGAGCGGCTGGGCCCGTGAGCCATGGCTGCTGAGCCTGCGCGAGCAAAAAAAAAAAAAAAGAATATATAAAGCACATCGGTTAGACAGAGGGTACAAGGGTACAAAAGGAAAATGGGCAAAAGATTCGAAGAGGCACTTGGCAAAGAGGATGCCCACGTGGCAAATGGCTAGTAAACCAAAAGAAGTCTCACAAATTAAATCCACAGTGGACTACCATTGCCCACCCTGCAGAATGGCTACAGCGAAAAGGACAGGAGGCCCCTCGCACTGGTGAAGACCTAGAGCACATGGAACTCTCATTCTTTCTGATGGGAGCTACACTGACGTAACCACTTTGGAAACTGCTCCTAGAGCTGAACCTATTCATAGCCCATGACCCAGCGATTCCATTCCCAGGTGTGCGCTCAGATATGGACCAGAATGTTCATTGCGACACTACCTGTAATACCTCAAAGTGGAAATGACCCAAACGTCCACAGGAGAAGGATGGATAAATAAATGTTGACTCAGCCACCCAGCAATGGGAACAAACAAGGGCCTGCGTTATCAGCATGGGCGGATCTCTCCAACATGATGGTAGCGCAGGAAGCCAGGAAGAAAAGAGCTCACACTGTATGATTCCATCAACGTAAAAAGTCCAAAAAGAGGAGAAAAGGATGCAGCATTAGAAGTCCAGGGAGTGGTTGTGAATATCTTGGGAAGGTTACTAGGGGGCTTCTGGGGTGCTGGTGATACTCGGTTGACCCGGGTGCTGGTTATAGGCGTGTTAAGTTGAAAAACTGACCCACCTGCACCCTTGGGATTTCTGCATTTTCTGTATATATGTGGTATTTCAGTTAAAAAAAAAAAAAGATTAAAAACCAAAAAGCAGCCTGCTTCACTCTACTGGGTGTGGAGCTTGGGTTGCTGGTCCAGTGTTGACATAGAACTAGCCCAGCACAGTCCTGGCATCCGTCAGTATCCAGCCACTGGTGCCACTGCTCTAACCACATTCTCCTCGCCCCCGTCCCATAGTCTTCCAGGCAACTCCACGCTGCCAGTTATCCGGCCCCGACAGTGCCTTTGTCGCTGACCCCTGTCTTCCTCTTACATCCCACATTCAATCCAGGAGTGAGGCCAGCTCTGCCTTCAGGGTAGATCCGGAAGCCAGACCCTCCTCACGCTCTCTGGTCCTGGTCCCTCTGCTTCTCAGCTGCAGAGACACCTGGTCCTCCTTCCTCACTCCCCTTGGGGTTTCCTCCCGACAGCAGGAGAGGTGATCTTTCTAAAACACAAATCTGGACTTCCCTGGAGGTCCACTGCAGGGGGCGCCGGTTGGATCCCTGGTCGGGGAACTAAGATCCCGCATGCTGCACAGTGCGGCCAAAGAAAAATTTAAAACTAAACCACAAATCTGATCATACACTTGGTTCTTCTGTTATTTGTCTCCAAAGTTGGCAGGTTACATGGGGGAAATAACCCAAGCTCCTTCCCAGGGCTCCCCAGGCCCTGCGGGATTCAGCCTCTTCTCTCCCCTGCTTCCTTGGACTCCAGCCTCAAGAGTGCGTTCCCAGCTCAAGATGCTCCATTTCTTCTGCTTGCGCGCTCCTCTTCCAGACCCCGCAAGGCTCCACTCCACCATCCAGCCCCTCTGTGAGTGTAAGCCCCACTCTCTCAGCCCCAGTGAAACCCTGCACCTTCCCTTGCCGCTGCTTTGCCTGGGGTCCACCAGGGGCCCAGCCTGTGTCTCTCACACCCCCGCTACCTTGCCCCTCCTTTGGGCACTTCTTGAGTCCACGGTCGCCAGAGCACTCCAACTTCTCCCTCCTCCAGCTCAGCCCAAGAAGGTGAATCCCTGGCCCCCTGGTTGGCCAGGTTGGGGGCCTCCATCAGGACTGGGGTGAGGCACAAGTCACTTCTTTCCCCAAATGGGCCTGCGTTTAAAAATGATTTACTTTTTCCAAAAATAAAAAGTCAGGGACTTCCCTGGTGGCGCAGTGGTTAAGAATCTGCCTGCCAATGAAGGGGACACGGGTTTGATCCCTGGTCCAGGAAGATCCCATATGCCGTGGAGCAACTAAGCCCTTGAGCCATAACTACTGAGCCCGTGTGCCACAACAACTGAAGCCCACACGCCTAGAGCCCGTGCTCCACAGCAAGAGAAGCCACTGCAGTGAGAAGCCTGCCCACTGCAACGAAGAGTAGCCCCCGCTCGCCGCAACTAGAGAAAGCCTGTGTGCAGCGACGAAGACCCAACGCAGCCAAAATATAAATAAATTAATTTTTTAAAAAAGTCAACCAGGTGGTTTTATTTATTTATTTTATTTATTTATTTTTGTCTGGGTTGGGTCTTCATTGCTGCACACAGGCTTTCTCTAGCTGCGGCGAGCGGGGGGTTCTCTTCATTGTGGTGCACGGGCTTCTCATTGCGGTGGCTTCTCTTGCTGCAGAGCACGGGCTCTAGGCATGTGGGCTTCAGTAGTTGTGGCTCGCGGGCTCAGTAGTTGTGGCATGCAGGCTCTAGAGCACAGGCTCAGTAGTTGTGGTGCACGGGCTTAGTTGCTCTGCGGCATGTGGGATCTTCTCAGACCAGGGCTCGAACCTGTGTCCCCTGCATTGGCAGATGGATTCTGAACTACTGCACCACCAGGGAAGCCCAACCAGATGGTTTTAATATTAGTTTTTCTGCTTCTCTGTGTGTTCTAATTTTCTACAAGGATCATCAGTTACATACATAATTTAAAATAAAGCATCATTTCAAAGTCCATTCTCTTTGATTCAATATTTGCACTTCTGGGAAAACAGCTCAAAGAAATAATCGTACATAAACAAAAAGACTTGTACAGGAAGAACAAGATTCAGATTCAAGGCTCCCCTTGAAGACCCTTCCTCACCCACCCTCCCACACACCCTCCTCCAGAGGGGAGACTGAGGCCCCAGAGCAGGGGGTCTGCGCTGCAGCATCCGCCGTCGGGAACTGAACTGAAAGCGGTGGGCATGGCTGGTCTACACTGACACCAGCTGCCGTCCTTTTATGTGTTTGCCAGACACTGCGCTCAACGCCCTTCATGATTTAATGAGCGCTTCCCACGGTTCTGCAAGGACAGCCACTCTTAGTGTCCCCCTATTTCGGGTGAGGAGTGTGAAACGCAGCACGCACAGGTAACCTGCCGTGAAGGGCCGGAGCTGGCACTCGGAGCAGGCTGAGTCCCCCAGTGTGGCTTGTCCAACCAGTCCTCACGCCGCTGGGTACCACCAAGCAGCCCTACCCCCTTCCTCCGCATTAACAGAGTCCTGGCGCCAGGGATGAACAGTGATGGGGCCTAGCCAGTCATACCAGCCCCCTCTTCTTTTGCCAGTGATGGGTCCAGGGTGACCCTGAGACCCAGGCCTGCCGAAGAAATGTAAGGGGAGTGTCTCTGTAGGCTTCTGAGAAGTTCAAGGAGAAATACGTTTTGCTTGCACCACATTTCCTCTTACTCAGTGCACTGTCATTGCATGAGGGTGTGATGCTCGGAGCTGTGGCAACCATGTTGTGCCCCTGAGAAGCAGCATCTTCAGCACTAGAGTAACTAAAAGTCTGGATTTGATTTCTCAGGTTGCAAGACTTTCAGCACTAAAACTGGCAAAGTCTTAGGCAACAGGATGATTGGTCACCCTAAACTGGTGACATGGAAGGACAGAAAGAACTTGGGCCCTTACCAATACCCTTGAGCTGTTAACCAACCCTGGAACCTTAACCTCTGGATTTTCTTATTATATAAACAATGACTGTTGTAAAAGAGGCTACAAGGATGTATTGTATAACACGGGGAATATAGCCAATATTTTATAATAAATGTAAATGGAGTATAACCTTTAAAATTGTATTAAAAAAAGATAAAAATATTTTTAAAGAAAACAAACAAAACCCCCACAGTGATTGTCTTTATGACTTAAATCTGTTTTGTTACTTGTGGCTGAAATCACAGGCCTGAGCTTTGCACACCTTCCATCCTTTTATGCTGTCCCATGCACTGTGCCCCCTGACCCCATGTCTGCCATCCATCGCTCTGCATTCACCCTGTCAGGCCTCCTTCTAGTGCCACCTCCTTCCTGAAGGCTTCCTGAGCTTCTCCTCAACCAGCTGCAAACTCCCTCACCTTTGCTTGGAGGCATTTTGCTTTACTCCTTTTTTCTGACATTTCTTGCTCTCTGCCTGCATCGCAGCTAACTGGGCGCTCACTGTTTCTCTTTTTACTTTTGCTCCCTCTGCCTTCCCTTCCCACACAAACTACAAGCCCCTGGGAGAGGGACACAGACAGAATGACTTTCTCAATCTTCCCTCCACTGCAGTCTCAGCACACCACACGAGAGCGGACCAAACATGGTCTTGGTTTAACGATCCAGGGATCCAGGCTGGAGTGTCTTCTCTGGGCCTGCAAGTGAGGCCAGGCCTGACCTGCCTGGTTTTATTCCTGGGCCAGGGGGTCACTGCACCCTCAGCCCATTTCCAGGCCCCAGGGCCACCCTGCAGCTCGAGAATGGGCCAGTCCTCTCCGCCCTGTGGCTGACTCAGCTCCTTATCACCTGTCCAGCCCCAGGCCCTCTTCCTGCAGGGTACTGTTTCTTCCCTCTAGAGACTCCAGCGTTTCTCCTCTGGCTGCTCCCAGCAGCCCCGTGGCCCTGGCAAACGTGTCCCTCCCTGTCCTTTGTTTTCCAGACTCTGACTTTCTCAAAGCCGCACCCCGACTTTGCCCAGCCCTGCATCAGGAGGTGTGCAGGTAGGAGCCCCTCCCCAGGTCACTTCATGGACAGCTGTTCAGGTTGTGATTCAGACCCTGCTGCCAGGAAGACAGAGTGGCGCTGTTGGGAACAGCCCCGGGCCTTGTCCTGCCCGTTTGTAGTGACCGCAGGCCACTCCCATCCCCTCTCACCTGAATCCTATTTAAGGTCCTCTAATTAGATGGGGGTGGGGGTGCGTGTTTGGGCCAACGCCCCCCGTGCAGTGCAGCAGCTTCACGATGGGCCGAGAGAAGGACTGGGGTCAGCAGACTCACGTCAGGCTGGGCACGGGGTCCTGAGCCGGGTGGGGGATGAGACAGCCAAGCAGACCTTTCTGGGGTACTTGCTCCTCCTCTAGGGAATTGGTGCTGGAAGGGGAGGTGGCCTGGGCTTGGAGGCGATGCTGCTGGGCCATGGTGGGACGGGAGCCAGTGGGCTTCCAGGAAGGAAAGCTAAAGATACCCCCTTCCCGGCATGGCTGGAACGCTGAGAGGACAGGGATCCAGTTCCTGTCCTGTTGTCACTGGGGGACAGGGGGTGGTGACCAGGAGGGCGCTGCAGCAGCTGTGCTGGGCCGGGCGCAGCTGGGAGCTGGCGCCCAGGACCGGGCATCCATTGGCTGAGCCTCTGGGCTGGTGGGCGAGGTCAGGGCAGGGCCAGCGTGTTACTGGAAGCCCGGCAGCTCTGTCTGTCTTTCTGCCAAGCTGCCCACTGCATTCTTTGGCCTCCTGTTTCTAGGCGGTCTCTGTACAGGTCTTGGCCCTGGCCTGCCTTGAGCCTGGTACCATGGTGCCCATGTTTGGGGTCACTCGATCTCTTATTTGGGGCAGTAGTTGAGATGGGCAGGATGGTATGGGGGAAGCTGGGCTCCTGTGGGGCAAGGATCCCCTTTCCCCTGTGCTGTTCTGAAAGCTCAAGGGACCTGGGGGAGGGGACCTCTGTGTGTGCGCTGCATTGAAACCAGGGATCAGAGGCCTACGTCTGTCTGAGTATCCCAGGGTGTGTAGGTGAGTGTGAAGGGCGTGGGCGTGGCCTGTCTCCTCTGTGGGGATGCCCCGAGGGGTGCAATGTGCACCATCTTCCCAGAGGTCAGCCTTCGTATATTAGACTCAGGATCTGCGTCTGTCGAGGGGAGGGGCGGTTGACGTCTGGCTGCCTAGTCCGCTACCGGTCGGCCCCGAGGGACAGCTGCCCTCGGAGTTTGTTCCAGAACATCTTCAGGACTCCCGGATTGTGGGATCCTGTGTCCCAGGGTGTTGGCGTCCTCCTCCCGCTGCCCTGGGACCGTGAAGTCAGGGAGGAGCAAAGGTTTGGACGTGGCAGCCAGTTTCGTGCGGTCTGGTTGTTGCGGCATGGACACCGAGATCGATGCCTGGGGTTTTTTTGTTTTCGTTTAATATTTTTTATTGTGGTAAAATATACATAACGTAAGATTTGCCATTTTAACCACTTTTACGTGTCCAGGAGCATAAAGCACATTCATGTTGTTGTGCCGCCATCACCACCATCCATCTCCAGAGCCCTTTCTTCTTGCGCAGCTGAAACTCTACCCATCGACACTACGTCCCCGTCCTCCCTCCCCACGGGCCCCCGGCAACCTCCAGTCTACCTTCTGTCTCTGTGGAGTTGATTATTCTAAATACCCCATATTAAGTAGAATCCTACAGTAGTTGTCCTTTTGTTGGCTTACTTCACTGATCATAATGTCTTCAAGGTCATCCATGTCGTCGCATGAATCAGAATTTCCTTCCTCTTTTAAGATTCCACTGGACTAAGGGTGCCCCGTGTGGATGGGGTACGTTTTGTTTATCTATTCGTGCATCTGTGGGTGCTCGGGTTGCTCTCACCTTTTGGCTCCTGTGGGACGCCTGGATGTTAATCCTGGCACCAAGTGGCAGTGGGGACCTGGGCACATGACAGGACGCCTCTGGACGTTCCATCCATGACATGGGATCTGTACCAGTTCCAGCCTCTTAGTTCTCATGGTGGATGAGGTCATACACGGGAAGCAGTGAGCAAAGTCCTCCAGAGGTCAGCCTTCATACTAGATTCGGAACCTGCAACTCTGTGGGGAGGGAGTGAAGTGGCAACTTTACCTCTCACGGCCGGTCCACAGGGAGTGGGAATAACCCTGCCCATGGGGCTGTGGTGAGGATGCATGGGTGGCACTCGGTGGGGCTCGGTGGGACTCAGCCCGGGCAGTGAGCCCAGAGGGTGTGGCAGAAGTGGCCCTCCCGGGCTCTGTAGGGGACACCTCAGCTTTTCCTCACTTCTGCGCCCTCTCCTATATCATTCCTCAGGGCTCCCCAGCCAGCCTTCAGGAATCCTCTTGTGGGGCACCTTAGGTCTACCTGACCTACGTGACCAGGAGATTATCCTGTTCTCTGCCCTGGGATTCCAGGCCCACAAGCTTTCTTCCCTGCTCAAATCTGGCCTCAGTGCTCCTGCTGGGCCCTCTCCTTGAAGTAGGCAGATCTTTTCCAGGACCTTGAGCCCAGGGCCTTCTAGTGGGCAGAGGAGATCTGAACATCCAGCTGGCTGTAAGTGTGCTGGCCGCCCTCCTCCTTCCACCAGGGGCCTCCCTGCTGCAGCCAGGTTGGGCTGGCCCCAAAGAAGACAGCAGGATGGCTCCAGGAAGACTGTGCAGCCAGAGATGTGAGCCTGAACTCCCCGGATCAATGCGGGGAAGGCTGGCCAGCAGTGTCAGAGCCTGGGTCTCGGATTGCCTTGGGCAGGGCTTCCAACCCTCTCCCAGCCTCAGCCCCACACCCCCTTCCAGGCACTGACCTCCCCAGACCATTTCCTTCCCTCTTTCCTCCCTTGAGTCCCAGCTCCATCCAGGGAGGGGGCCCTGGGTGCAGGAGCCTTGATCCGACCACCTGAGGACATCAGGGTGGAGTCTTCCCCAGTCTCCACCCCACTCACCTAGGGACCTCTGAGCCTCAGTTTCCTCACTGGATCATGCGGCTGGAGGGCACCCAGCATGGGAGTCATTCAGGGTTAAATGGGAGAGCGCTGTAGAGGGCCACCCACGGCAGCACGCAATAGATGTTAACCCCCCTCTCCCCTCCCCAGTTCCCCTGTCTCTACACGGAGGGAGAGATAAGCTGACCTGCACGGAGAGTGGTGAGACAGAAGCTCAGAGAAGGGAGTTACCAGCCAGGACCACGCAGCAAAGAGGGGTGGCCCGGATGGGGTACCCGCCCCTTGCCCCTCCCCTGGCAGGGCTCCAGTTCCCTGGCGGGGACCACGTCCCTATTCGGCGAAGCAAGACTGGGAGCTGTGATTTTCTTCCCTGAATCAGCTCATTCCCTGAACTGCTTCAGGAAGGAGCCGGGGGTGGCCTCACACTTTAGGGCATTGGGATGTGCTCTAGCTTTTCAAGTGCCTGGGTCTTCCTCCCATAGCCCTCTCCAAGCCCCCACCAGCCCCTGTCCCTACTGCCATCCCTCGTATGGTGGCCAGTCTCCAAGATGGCCCCAGTGATACCGTTTCCTGGTATTCACACCCCCAGTAGCCACTCCCACACTGAGTCAGGCCAATCTATGTGACCGATAGAATACAACAAAGTGGAAGCGTGTGATTTCCAGAGCAAGGTTGTAAAGCGTAGCCTCTTCTTTTGGCTCACTTGCTCTTGGGGAAGCCAGTCACCATTCCATGAGGATGCTCAAACTACCCCATGGAGAAGCTCCCGGGAAGAAGAACTGAGGCTCTAGCTCCAGGCTGTAAGATGGTGTCTTAAATAATATACGGTAATCGCAGGAGCGAGATCCTATCCCCTTTACCGTATTCTGTTGGTGGGAAGCTAGTCCTGGGTTTTGCGCACACTCACAAAGAGGAGACTATACACAAATGTGATGCTCTGGGGTCACCTTAGCGTGTGTCCACAGATGCTGTTGGGGGTTTTCTCCTGCCAGAGTCTTGCTGGCTCTGGAGAGGGAGAGGGTGTCTGCCTCCCAACACAGGTGTTCTGATTTCAGGCCAGTATGGCTGGTTTCTCAATAATGAGGCTTTTCTCCCTGGTGAGATGGCACGGTCTCATTTGTGTCATGCTTATTCTTTTGATTAACGCAGCTCTAACCCAACTCCTACAAAGTAATAACTCTCGTATCATATAACAACCGAGCTTACTATGTGCCTAATTAGGTAACTTAATTCATTATCTTATATAAGTATCACAACAACCATACGAGCATGTATTATTTTGTCATTGACTGTATGTCCTGAGGCACAGAATATACGCGAAACGCCCAGGGTCATGTAACTAACAGCTATTAGGACTGTGTGAAGCCAACTTACACTGGCTTAAGCAGTTAGAAGAGGGTTGTGTTATTGGTTCCCACGAGAAACATGCACAGGATGAGAGCTGGGCTTCAGGCACCACTGGATCCAGATTCGCCAGTGGTGTCACCTAAACCCTGTCTCTCTCCATCTCTCCATTCTGCTGGCTTCACTCACGGGCAGGCTCTCACTAGCGGTGACAAAAATGGCTGCAGCAGCTCTGGGTAAAGTCCAGACTGGCCGTGGGGCTGCTTGGGTCTTGTCCCCATGCTGGGACCAGCAAGGGTGTGCATGTTCTGACGGGGCCATCCTGGGTCACTCCCCACTCCAGGGGATGGGGGAGGTCAGCCCCATCAATGAGCCGCAAAGACCAAGAATGGTGGAGAAATGCCTACTGGGGGCCTTTTACCGAAAGAAGGGGAAGGGGCGCTGGGCAGACAAAGGCAGTGGATGGCCAGTCTGGGGACAGAACTGGGTTCCAAGCCAGTTCCGCCTGACTCCAGGGTCATATGCTGTCAGTTCCTGAGCCTCCCATGCCACCTCCATGACTGGGAGTAGGGATGAGGTGCCAGGTGTGGCTGGGATGCTGCCCCAGGGAGCCGGGTCTCAGTAGGGGGAGGGGACTGCCAGGTGCCACAGGGGGAGGGGGCCATGAGGAGCCTTTGCAGAAGCGTGGGACATGGGCGGGGCACTGCTTTCTCTCTGCTGGGGGGAATACGGCAGGTCACTCCGAACACAAAGCCGGCAGGTGGCTGTTACTAGCTTTCCCATGACCACCGGTTACCATTTTGGGGTGCATTTGGGATGATTTGTACTCAGTGTTTTAATCCTCACAACAGCCCTAGGAGGAAAGGAAATGTCACCATCCCCACTGAACAGGAAGAAGGCTGAGGCTCTGGGAGGTGGAATCAGCCCCTCACGGTCCCACTGGTCCCAGATTCATGCTGCCTCATCCCCTCACTCAGAGGAGAGACCGAGGCCCAGGAAGGGGTCGATCGCAGAGCTTTCTCCCTGCGTCCTGGGCACCTCGCCTCACCTTGGGTCTCCTTTGTTTGTTTAGCTGACATTGTATTTTGAATAGGTCATCTATTCGTATGGTTCACAACTCGGATGTGAAAAGGGTTGGCTGAATAATGGCCACACCGAATCCCAGACACCTGTGACTATGTTACCTTAGTGAGCAAAAGGGACTTCGCAGGTGTGATTAAGTTTAAGGACCTTGGGGGCTTCCCTGGTGGCGCAGTGGTTAAGCATCCGCCTGCCAACGCAGGGGACACGGGTTCGAGCCCTGGGCTGGGAAGATCCCACATGCCGCAGAGCAACTAAGCCCGTGCCACAACTACTGAGCCTGTGGTCTAGAGCCCATGAGCCACAGCCACTGAAGCCCACGTGCCTACAGCCCGTGCTCCGCAACAAGAGAAGCCACCGCAATGAGAAGCCTGCGCACTGCAACAAAGAGTAGCCCCCGCTCACTGCAACTAGAGAAAGCCCGAGCGCAGCAACAAAGACCCAGCGCAGCCAAAAATAAATAAGTAGATTTTTTCTTTTTCTTTTTTTTTGCGGTACGCGGGCCTCTCACTGTTGCGGCCTCTCCCGTTGCGGAGCACAGGCTCTGGACGCGCAGGCTCAGCGGCCATGGCTCACGGGCCCAGACGCTCCGCGGCATGTGGGATCTTCCCGGACTGGGGCACGAACCCGTGTCCCCTGCATCGGCAGGCGGACTCTCAACCACTGTGCCACCAGGGAAGCCCAATAGATTTATTTTTTTAAAAAAAGTTTAAGGACCTTGGGATGGAAGGTGATCCTGGATCATCTGGGTGGATGTAAATGTAATCACAAGGGTCCTTATAAGTGGGAGGCACGAGGTCAGGGAGAGATGAGAAGACGCTGTCTAATGGCTTTGAAGATGGTGAAGGAGTGTCTTAGCTCGGGCTGCCATCATAAAGACTGCCCACCCTCATGACTTCATGTAACCCTGATCACTTCCCAAAGACCCCACCTCCAGATACCATCACATTGGAGGTTAGGGCTTCAACATATGAATTTTTGGGGGGACACAAACATTCAGTCTATAACAAAGGGGCCGTGAGCCAAGAAATATAGGCAGCCTCTAAAAGCCGGAAAATGCAAGGAAACAGGTTCTCCCCTAGGGCCTCTAGGAGGAGCACAGCCCTATGGACTCAGCTTAGACTTCTGGCCTCCAGAACTGTAAGATAATAAATTTATATTGTTTGAAGCCGCTAATTTGTTACAGCAGACAAAAGAAATGAATACATCCCCCCCCATTCCCCCGCCACCTACTGCCCCTCCCAGAAGCAAACAGTTGGTTTTGAATGTTTCATGCATATACAAACACACACACACACACACACACACACACACACACCACACACACACACACACACTTCCTTCCCCCACAAACCGTAGAATACTATACACCCTCCTCAGGGCAAGCCTGTCCTCCGGGTCACTGATTTGGATACAGCCCCCTCCTCCCACAAATACTTAGTGCAGGCCAGGTACTGTGCCAGGCCAGGGATGGGAGACACCCGACACACTGCCCTCGAGGGGAGGTTGAGGCACCAAACACAGCCGGCAAGGGCTGGGGGAGGGGAGGGTGAGAGTAACGCCTCCTACTTGCTGTTCAGAATCCACATCTGGCCAGGGACTTGGGGCTGGGGGATGCCGAGCCGTGCACAGGGTCATGCATGGGGTCCTTGCGGTGGTGACACGGTGGTGACACTACTCAGCATCTCGACTGGTGGCAGACACAGGTGATAGGATTATATCAACCAGACCCACACCCAAGGTGGACAAATTGCATGAAGGCCAGTGTGCTGGGTGTGATATTATACGGAGCTTTGAAAAGTGTTACCATTGGGGGAACTGAGCAAAGAGATCTTTCTGTTACTGCTTACAACTGCCTGTGAGTCTACATTGATCTCAATACAAATTTCCATTCAAAGAATTTATTTTTGGTGCCAAACTTGGGCTTAGGGGCTTCTCCCCTGTGCTCCTGGCCGCCCAGGCTCGAAAGGGGAGCTCCCCCCCCCAGTCGGAGCTCCTTCATGGAATCTCCAGGTTTAGCCTGTGTCTCACCCACCAGGGGCACTCAGCAAAGGTGGGGTGAGGGACTGAATGACTGCATGAATGGATGGGTGAATGAATGTGTGAAGTGAATCTGTGAATGAATGCATGCATGCAGGCATGAATGGATGAATGAATGAATGCATGCGTGAATCTGAATGAATGCATGAATGGATGCACTCCAGGCAGGATGAAGAAGACAGGAAGGCTTAGGGCAGGAGGGTAACCCTGCTTGGACCTTGGAGCAGGACAGCGCCTCGAAAAGCCTGCCCACATGCCTGGCCTGAGACCAGGGTCCCCTTCAAAGGAACCCTGCCTGCAACTAACATCAAGGGACTCAAGTCCTCAGTCTGCCACTTCCAGACACCCTGAGGTGAATTCACAGCAACACTTCTTACTATGCCATCGCAAACACCCCCAAACCTCCCCAGCCCCAGGCTCCTGATCCTGCTGAGGATACCGGGGGGTCTCCCCTCCACACTGCCATCCGTGTGAAGCAGGACCCTGAGCCTGGTGGGGGCTAAGGCGGTTGGGGGCTCAGATCCAGGTTTCCTCCCAGATCTAGGCCTCTTTCCCCATCCAGGTGAGCAGAGAGCCACCGGGGGCGGGGGGGGGGGGGGGGGGGGGGGGGGGGAGGGGCGATCCTGTGCAGGGCTGAGCAGCCTTAGGGATCTTACTCTGACTTTGCTGCCTGGCCCCATGAGAACCCCACTTTCTGTCTTGTGGGAAACCAGGGGCTGACACAGGTGGCCTGGTAAGAGCAGGAGCCCCGCCCCCTGCCCCTTGCTCCTTCGTGCTTGAAGTCCCAAAGTTAGCCCGGGGGGGGGGGGGGGGGGGGGGGGGAAAGGCCCTGCAGCCCCCTCCTCTGTTCCCCTGTCAGACCTCCCCAGCAGCGTGGGTGCCATCCCTGCGCCTTCCCAAAGGTCTTCCACCCCACCTTCCTCCTCTCCCTCCTTCTCTCCCGCTCCCCACCAGCCTCTCAAATCAGGAGTGGGGGCCGGTGAGCTGAGCTGAAGCCCGTCTCGGGCACTTCCCGCAGCCCGAGCTGAGCTGATCCGAGGGCACCTGGGCCTCCTTGCCCCGCACCCCGTCATTCCTAGCCTTCCAGAACCGCGAGCCTCTGCGTTAGGAAGGCAACTCGGAGGCCCCTAACCCTTGACTAGAGCAATCCCTGCTCGCCTTCTTTTAAGGAGTTTTTTTCCAAGGGAATAATTTGCTGATCACTCGAACCCCTTAAAAAAAGCGAGGGGGGGGGAGAGAATAGTTCTAGTGCAGGGGGAGGAGCCGGCTGGTTCAACTGCAGGTCAGCGGACCTGGCCCGCGAGGCCTGCGCTCGGATTTGTTCTGTAGCAATAAAAGCGGCGATTTCTGAGGGCTCGGCCGGCACGGTCCTGGGCCCTTGCACAGCTGATGCTCACACGGCTTTGGGGTGGGGCTGACTGACACTCTCATTTTAAAGACAGGCAAGGAGGCGAGAAGACCTGCCCACCAAGAAACGAGTATGGGAGGCACCCTTGCAGCTGCGCGCGGCGGGAGGCGAGCCGGGCGCGCATTGATCGCTGGTGTAGACGTAGGCTCTCTGCGCACCCGCGCCCGGCCGGCTGTCGGGAACTCGAGCCGGCTCCGCGCGTGCTTCCTGGAAACGTGCTCGCTGGCGAGGAGCTGCTCGGTGACTGCAGCCCTGGGCCGCCTCGCCCGAGGGCCGGGCTGGGCACCGCGGCGCCCGCGGGCTGCCGCCCCCGCAGGGCCGCCCGGGGCGTGGGTCAGCCCCGGTGGATCCGGCGCGCCGCCGGGCGGGCGGGAGGGAGGCGGAGGGGGACCCGCCGGGGAAGCCGTGGGGCGGTATCTCAGCTGCTGAGAGGCGAGCCCGCCTCCTTTCCGGGTAAACTTGCGGCCGCGCCGAGGGGGGTGGTGCCGCGCCGGCAGGGGGCGGGGCCGGCCGTAGCCGCGTCCCGCGATGTTGCAGGTGGGCCGGGGCCCCGTGATGGGCCGGCTGGGCCGGTCTCCCGACGCAGTAAGAACCCCCTACCCGCTGCCTCCCAACCAGAACCGCTTGGCACACCTTCAGGCACAGAATGTTTATTGGCCACCTACTATGCGTGAGTCCCCGGGTGCAGCCGACGGGGGTGGGGGGCTGTTTCTCCCCTTCAGGAAAATGTTCCAGTTTGTGGGTTTATCTGTAAAGCATAGGCACCCTATTACTGGGTTTATATATCATGTACCCACAAAAGTTGAACGTTTCAAAGGATGAGATAAAGAGTAGAAATAGAGAGGTTGTGTTTCTTTCCATATGCCAATGGCTTGTCTTGCACATGCCCCGCCTTCCGAGACCTGGGCTTATTCTAGTGGCTGCATCTGGGCTGGACCTGGAGTTGGAGAAAACACCCCCACTCTCACCCTGATCCTCCCATTGGGATCTATATCATCCTGCCCCACCAGGCCCAAGGCTGAGGTGTCTTTGGGGCTCTGGATCCCACTCAGTGGAGGGTAGCAGATGACAGGCTGGTATACTGGGAGGTGCTCTGAGGTCTGGGTTCAAATCTTGCATCTGCTGCTTCCTGGCTTAGTGACCTCGGGCCTCCCTAAGCCTCAGTGCCCTCTTCTGTAAACCTGAGGGGGCAGCATCTCCCCCCTGCCTAGCAGAATGCCTGGGTTGCAGGCTGCCCCCTGACTTAGCTCTGCTGCCAGATGGTCACCCCTGAGCCACCCTAAATGGCAAGGCAGCTAGAAGCACATCCCAAGGGGCCAGACAAGGATATGTAGATTCAGACTGAAGGAATTTATTGTGTGTCTAGCTTAGGGTATGGTTCTGGTAAAGGGTGACTCTTAGTAAAAACCTGTGTCACCAAACTGAAGGGCTTCAGGGGAGAGGAAGGGTTCAAGGAGGAGTTGATGAGAGAGAAGAACGAGGAACCAAAGAGTCAGTCAGTTAGTCAACAAACATGAACTGAGCGTCGGCTCTGTGCTGGGCACTGTTCTGGGCAGTGGACAGTCAGGGTGCTCACTCAGCAGCCTGGGATCCCTAGAAACTCAGGGTGTCCCCACCAGGGAGCATCGGAGCCACCTTCAGGCCAGGGCTGAGGGGCCCCCAGGAGCTGGGGGAAAGCCAGGCCCAGAGCTGAGGTGTGGTCCCCCTGGGCGGAGAGTGACTCAGGCCCCGCCCAGCCTCCCCACCTCCTGGGTTTGGTTTGTTTAAGAACAAATTAGTCACGGAGCAGGCAGCTTTCCCGAAAATAAAATGAGAATCCCCAGGAAACAGGGAAAATTGAAGGCAGGCGGGTGAGTCAGCACGTGCTGCCCCCAGGGCTCCACTTTCCAAAAGGCTGCGCCCTCTTCCTCTGCCCCCTCCGCCCCTCCCTGTCCCCCCTCCGGGGACACTGACTTTAACCTCCCGTCTCAGCACGTTCTCTGCCACCACGAGGCTCCCCCTTGTTTTTCTCCTTCTCCCTTACTTTCCTCTTGTCCTCTCCCGACTCTCCCCTCCTGTTCTGCTGCCTCGCCTCCCTCGCCGAGGCTGTGGCCCCACGCATGCGCACTCACGCATTGATCGCCTTCCATCCTTCGGCCCCCGTTTGCATCGTTCGTACGTTCATAAGTTCCATTCGTGTTTACAGAGCACCTGCCAGGTCCGGGTGTCGTGGGCGGGAGGGAAGACGAGCAGAGAAAGAGAGAAAGCCTCCCCCGCCCCCAAGCTTGTGGGGAAAGGAGACTCCTGCTCGCAGACCTGAGAAGATGTTACGGGACACTCCATCCTCCCCCCCCCCCCCACCCCCGCTCCTCCAGTCACTCCCTCCGCTGGGACTGACAGAGCTGGGCCCCCAACCAATTGCTTGAGGACTTCATTCCGAGCTCTCTGTCCCTGCCTCCCTCCCCATCAGAGTACAGGGCCACAGGCTGAGTGGGTGTCTGGGGAGGCCCAACCAAGCCGGGCAGGAGACCGTGGGGGGGGGGCTTTCTCGCCCACTCTTCCTCCTTGTGCCCAGAGCCCGGATGATGACGAGCTGGGCTGTGTTTTGAATCTGAGGGATGGAATCTCATGGCCACCTGTTCCCTGTCCCCCCATCCTGAGCCTCCTGTGGGAGGAGGAGGCCAGACCTCAGCTTTGGGCAGGACTCTGTGGCATGCCCCCTCCAACCCAAACCTCTGGGGGCAGCAGGGAAGGTTCCAGGCTGAGGAAGGGGATGGCATAGGGGAGCCAGGCCCCTGTGCACTTGGCCTCTCAGGACAGTGCCAGCCTGCTGTGGCCTGGGGTCCGTCTGGTCAGAGCAGGTGAGACCCCTCCGTTAAGACAAGTCCCTGAGGGGCCAGGGGCCCTGTGGCTCCCCACATGGCCAGGGCCCTTCGATTCAGTCTCCTCCCACCCCCCTCCCCACCTCCCAGATGGAATTGGTGCGGGACCCCTGGGGCCACCGTCTTCCCAGACCCCTCTCACTAGCCCCTCAGGAGCAGGGAGTCGGCCGGGCACGGGCTTGGGTCACGGGGGTCACGGGGCTGGGCCGGGGTCTCCTGGCTCTCTGGTCACTGTCCAATCTCTGTCAGCCGCTCTCGATGAATAATTTAGTTGTTCGAATTACAGTAAAGAGCTATTCAGCTTCCCTTCCCAAATCGTTAAGAGCTGATACAAGATGCCTCTGCTCCTTCTAAGGAAAGTCCCTTTGCCAGTGAAGCTGAGCCTTGTGGGCAGGGATCTCCCCCTCCCCCCAGTCATTCACCAGTATTGGACAGGGACAGGGGATTGGCTTTTGTTTTTTGTCATCTCAGCTGCAAAAAATGGATTGTAGCCTAAGATGCCAGTTCCTGGGAGCAGGAGAGTGCCACTGTCCTGAGGGGTGAGGCGGGTGCTGTTTTGGAAGGAGCCTTGGGGAGCTAACGTTGACCCCAAGTCACAAGTGCAGGCCCCTGGAGGGGATTCGAGATGCAAGGAGCATTGCAGGAGCCTGGGAGGAAGGAGCATGGGGCGTGAAACCAACTGGATGGTGCAAGAGTGTGTGTGTGTGTGCACGTGCGTGCGTGCATGTGCAGGCACACGTGAACGTGTGCACGTGTCTATGTGTGTATGTTGCACCCATGACCGTGCATTGCATGTGCACAGGTGGGCGCGTGTGCACTCCTGTGCACACCGTGCGTGCGTTATGTACACGTGTGTGCGTGCACCTGTGTGGGTGTATGCACGTTCTTGGAGGGCGAGCGTGCAGCTGGAACTGGATGGGGGCTGGCAGCACTGGGGCGGCTCTCGGGCGTTTCCAGAGCTGGGAGAGTTGGGTGGGGAATCTGGGTGGGGCTGGGCTCCAGCGACCCAGTCAGGTGACTTGCAGGCAGGCAGGGGAGGGGCTTTAGGAAGTTCGGAGAGAGGGAGGGAGGAGTGGGAAAGGGCCAGGCCGGGGACCTTGGCTGGGAGGTGCTGTGAAGAGTGAGGCAACATCTAGGGACTTGAGTGTTCCGGTTCCCCGGCCAAGGATGGCGGGAGGTGGGGCTCCCCCGGGTGATGGAGCCCACTGGGTACGGCGCAGAGGAGAGGGCGGGAGACCTGGCCTGGAGCCTCGGCCCTGCCGATGGAGGCCTCCCAGCGCCTGGGGAGGGCTTGCTGCCCGGGACGGGGCGGTGGGGGGTGGGGTGGGGTGGTGGCGAGGCCAGGAGGGCTGAGGTCACAGGTTCCGCTCCTTGCAGCTGTGCTGCTGAGGAGGCCGGAGGAGAAGGGAGCCTCTGAAGTCAGGCCCGGAGGCAGGCTCAGCCCGAGCAGCAGGAATCCCTGCCTCCAGCCAGCTCTCCCCGTCTAACCAGAGGACTCTGCTCTCCTGCAGCCCTGTCGCAGGAATGGACCTGCATTTCCCACGACTCACCCCCACCCCAGTCCCTTTGCCTGCAGCAAAGACGACTGAGACTACTGAGGGTCAGGGCTTGATAGAGTCACTCTAACTGGTCCCAGATACTCAGGGGAGGAGGTGGCCTGGGGTCTAGTCCTCAGGCAGCTACCCAGGGGCCCCACCTCTGGAAGGGAGCTCAGAGACAAATGTACAAAGGTGGCTTCCTGAGGAGGCCTGACCCTGGTTTGCAGGTCTGTGTGGGGTGAGGGGAGACCCCAGGAGGAATCCATCTCTCCCGCGCACTCCAATGAAAGGCCAGCTCCCAACGCCACGCAGAGGAGAAGCACCTCCACCCAACCTCGTGGGCTTGTACCACTCTTCCCGCCTAAGCCCAATCTTGCAGCCCCCAAGTGCATTGGGGTGGCAGAAGGCAGCACTCTCCCCCAGCTAGATGGTTTGCCCCATAGATACCCAGGGTACCCTGAGAGTCCCCCATGGTCCCAGCCTCCTAAGGGGATCCTTGAACATTCATGCCCTTCTGCCCTCATCCGAAGGCCATGTGACCTCGGCATCCCCTGGCCAGATGTGGGCCCACACCAGGCCCCTGGGACAGCCCTCCATCTGCTGTGTCAGCATCCCTCCAGCTCTGGCTGAGCAGGAGTGGAGAGAGGTAGAGGGAATACCCCCCGGGCCTTACTGGGCCCCCCTGGAATAAGAACAGCAGCTTCTGATACCCTCCCCATCCCTCCCTCCCTGAGCCCTGAGCCCTGAGCCCAGTCTTGGCCTCCTGAGAGAGGAAGGCATAGTCGAGCTCCACAGAAGGAGAGAGTTCTCCCAGTTTCCTTGGGAAGGATAGGGAATGTTCTGATTTCCAAGCCTTCCCATGGCCCCATGGGCAGCTCCTTGCTTCCTGGCGATAGGACTAGGGAGCTCTCTCCCCCTCCCTCTTCCCCCCCCCACCCCTCCCCAGCAGGCTGGTGCAGGTTGGCACCTGGCTGGTGGCAGCTGAGCAGAGCCTACCCACCCTCAGCTCTTGTCCTCTCCTGGGTGGGATACGGTGGGTGGGTCATCTCTGTGGCCTCCCTCCTCCTACTGCCAACCTGCAGTCTCTCCATCGCTCCACTCCATCCCCAGTGGGCTTCTCCCGGGGCCCAGAAAGTTCTTCTTTCTCTCACCCCCTGGCCTTTGAACATGTTTTCCCCGAGGCCAGGGGTCAGCAAACTTTTTCTGAAAAGGGCCAGGTGGTCCTTATTTGCGTCTCTGCCATTGTAGCGTGAAAAGCAGACACAGAGAATTAACAAACCAATGCGTGTGGCTGTGTTCAAATGAAACTGTACTGGACATTGAAATTTGAATTTCATATAATTTTCACATGTCATGAAATAGTATTCTTTTGGTTTGTTTTTCAACTGTTTAAAAATGTAGAAACATTCTTTGTTCATGGGCTGAACCAAAACAGGTGGCAAGTTGGATTTGGCCTGTGGGCTAGAGTTTGCTGCCCCCCTGTTCTAGGCTGCCCCCTTGGCTAAATCCTCCTCAGGCCACAGCTCACACATCCCTTCCCTGACCAGGTGGGAACATCCGGTTGGACATACCCACAATGCCCTGCGCTACTTCTTTCCTAATAGACAGCCCAGCACTGAGCCTGGCACACAGTAGGTACTCAACGAGTGTTTGACAATTAAGCGTGCTTCCTACATATTGTCTCTTTTTTTTTTTTTTTTTTTTTTTTTTCATATTGTCTCTTTTGATCTTCACAACATCTGAGTGAGGCATAGCTATTATCTCCATTTTTTTTTTATTATCTCCATTTTATAGACAAGGTAACTGAAGCCCAGAGAGGTTAAGTAACCTGTCAAGGGTCACCCAGCTAGCTGGGACAGAGGAGGAATTGAGCCTGCAGACTGCTTCCTGGGTGACCGGGCAGCAGGGGCCTAGTCCTGGGCCTCTTGTCCTGAAGCTAGGCTTCTAGAAGGTGTGGCCAGGCTTCTCGAGACATCAGGGAGCCCAGCCTGCCTTTCACCTTTGGCACCAGGCTTGCTCGGCAGCTGGGGGAGGCTCCGAACAGCCTCTGTCCTCCCAGAGGCCCCTGTCCTTCCGTATGGTGGCATTCTCTGTGACTCGATTCTGGGCTTCCTTCTCAGGGCTAGACCCAGGAACAACGGATCCCATTCCGTAGTCACCCGTCGCCCCTCCTCAGCCTCCCATCTGAGCCACCTGTGCGTAACACAGCCTGCAACAGCTGTCCTCCCCTCCCCACCAGCTGTGGACACGTCCCCACTGGCCAAGGCCTCTACTCGGCCTCCAGCCCAGTCCTTATTGCCAAGTGTTAATCTCCCCATGTATCAAAGGGGGATGATTACCATGACACCTTCCAGTCCCATCGTCAGCCTGGGAATTGGGGCGCATTCCTGGGCGGGCCAGGCTGGATAAACATGTGGTCCAGCTGTGGCCTGCTTTCCCATCATGGGACATCAAGGGAGGTTTCTGAGGTTGAGGGCAGGAAGGTACGGGCCCCTCCTTTGGACTGGCAGGCCCTGACCCCAGGACCACTGCAGCTCAGCTCTCCCTTCTAGCTCTTTCCCACAGAACCTTCTGGCCTCAGGGATTCCCGTCACCTCGGCCAGAGTTCATCAGACATTCCCCCATCCGCCCCCTCCCCTCTCCCCTGGAGAGAGGCAAGGAGGAGAGGGGCTGGAGGAGGAGAAGGCTGGGATTCCGGTGATGGGGGTGTAGTGAGGCAGCAGGGTCTTGGGAGAGGTCAGCTTGCTGGTAGCCACAGTGTAGATCCCGCAGTGGACATCACGGCTTTGGGGGCAGTGAGATGACAAGGGGAGTGAGTGCAGAAGAAGGGGCTGGGGGGCCAGGCAGAGGAATTCTGAGGAACCAGATCCCTTAGGAGAAGCCCGAAGCTCTCTTCCCATTCTCCCCCCTCCTTCCCCGTAACTACAGCCTGAAATGCCCAGGGTCTCCAGCCAGAGAGAGAGAGGACATGGCTATGCTGGGCCCCCCGGGGGCCTCACTCTACTGCCAAAGCAGTCCTCTGCTCTCAGCTGTGCTGGAAACCATCTGCCAACGGCCACCAGGAAGATGGGGATGTGGTTCCTAGGCCGGGGCAGGAGCAAGGTTGAAGACCTAGGGAGGAAGGAAGGAGGTGGGGGAAGAGAGAGAGAGAGAGAGGGAAGGAGGGAGGGAGGGAGAGAAAGATGGCGAGAGAGGGGATGGAAGAAAATAAAGAGGGATGAAAGGAGCGAGGAAGGAAGGAGAGAAGGAGGGGGGCCGTGAGTAGCCTCCCCACTTTGCGGTGGTCCCTGGGAGGCCGCTGGGCTGGGAGGCCCCTGGGCGTGTACGTGCTTATTTATTTGCTCTTCCGCGGTATTTATCCCACGTGTGCTTATTTATCTTCTGGCTGGGGCCCTAGCTCCGGCTGGGATTGGCAGCCCCCAGGCCGCAGGCCTGGTTGCCATGGCAACGCCTCTTTGTTAGGCACCAGCATCTGAAAATGTCAGACTGTTTCCAGCGGGTCAGATCTGGTTCCCTCCCTTCTTTCGCCTTCTCCTTTTTCAATTCCAGTTGCCTCTGCCCAAGTTGCAAACTTCCTCTGTCTCCATGGGGATGGAGGAGGGCTGTCTCTCTTTTTCCGTCCCAAACATCTGTCTCTATAAACAGTTGTGCAGGGCACCTCCTCCTTCTGGGCCCAGGCTTTGGGGAGGAAGTGTTTTGTTTATCTGGAGGGGGTCGGTTTCCTTGCTCCTTCAGGCTGGCCGCTGTGGGATGGCTGCAGCCCTGGACTCTGCGAGCCCCGGGCGGGCGGCCAGTGCCCGCTGCTCCTCTGGGCCAGCACTTGGTGGGAAGGGTGGCTACTCTGCACAGTTGTCTGGTAGACCTTGGTTCTGCTTTGCTAGCTGGGCTGCCTTAGACAGGTTACTTAACCTCTCTGAGCCTCTGTTTCCTCCTCTGTAAAGTGGGGAAGCTAATAGCGCCTCCCTAACAGATCTGTGCAGTGGGTAATGGTGTCACAAAGTGTCAGGTGCAATCACTGGAGCTCTCTCTAGAAGGCCCTTGTATTTCATGGTCCAGGGGATTCTTCCTGTAAGTTACTACTATTATCAGCCCCAGTCAGGAGAATGTTGAGAGGTTCATTGGTGCAGGGTTGGAATTCCACCCAGATGCAAGCGTCTGAAACCCAGGTCCTCCGTTTGCAGACTGAAGAGCTTGGATCAAGTGACCTCCTCCCCAGCTTGAAATTTTGATTTCTTTCAGGGAAGAGGGTGGGGAGAACTAAGAAATTAGTGGGGTTTTGCCGAGATCCAGGGACCGGAATGCACGATGTATGGGTGAGGAGTCAGGGACAGGGACTCCGATGACTCAGACCCGCTTTCTGCAGCTGGTAGAGATGCGAGCTGGGCCTCAGGAAAGAACGCAGCACTGGCCCAGGCCCAGCCCCGGCTCGGCCACCTCAGAGAGCCTGTCCTGGCCCCACGTGGCCTAAAGTGCCGGCATCGCTCCCGTGGGTCTCAGCAGCCTGACTCCCAGCTCCAAGCCCCGTGCTTTTTCTTGCATCTACAGTCCCAGCGTGGTGCACAGAATGAGATCAATTACACTCCTTCTAGATGATCAGAGGAGAGACCTCATAAACAACCAGTCAATGGCTGAGTGACAGCCCGGGCTTCAAAGCAGGAAGAGCTGGGTTTGAATCCAGATTCCTTAATTGCTGGTGGACCTTGGGCAAGTTAACCTTGCTGAGACTCTGTCATCTCATGTGTAAAATGGGTAGCAGAACAGTACCCACTGAGGGGGATGCTGACGAAGGGCTCGGGCAGCAGTAAGGCTGGGATGCTGGTGGCAGGGGTCACCGGTGGGGGGTGGGGTGGGAGAGCCGTGACCAAGAACCCATCCCTGGAAGGCGGGAGGCAGGAGCACTTGAGAGCCGAGCTGCAACCCCCCGTGCAAGCTCCACCGTCCCATCTGTAGAAAACACAGATTGAAAGATAAAATTATGAAGAATTTCAAGGTGACTGCAGAGCACTAAACCCCAAGCATGGGGCTCTCTTCCGAGTGCAAGGTCCTGTGTGACAGCCTGCCCCTGAGAACGTAATGTGACTGATTGCTGTCTCCTGGGATGTCTTCCAAGAGACTGAATAAAATGGACCGGAGCACAGACGCCGGGAGGAAGGGGGAATTTATACACGGCTTCACCCTTCAGCCAGTTGACGTCCCAGACTTCATGGATGCCGAGTGGTCCTTCAGCACTCCAGGCGGGGCAGGAGGGAAGAGCTCGGGGTGCTGGCCCCCCGCCAGGTGTGGCTAGGTGGAGACCCCCACCAGGGCTGACCCTGTAGGCCAGGAGCATCTGAGAAGGCACATAAAAAGCATCTGATGCAAAGTCCCTTTCCTGACATTGATGTTGATTCTGTAAGACATGCCCTTGTTTTTAGGACACACACGCCCAAGTGTTTCAGGGGAAAGAGGCATCATGTCTGCAGCTTACTCTCAAATGGCCTAGGGGAGAAATGGGGAGAGAGGGGGAAAGAAAATGGTAACAGAAACGTGGTATAATGTTAACATTTGGGATATTTGGGTGAAGCGTATACGGTAATTTTTTGTAGTATTTTTGAAACTTTTCTGTAAGCCTGAAGTTATTTCAAAACAAAAAGTTGGGCTTTTCTGTTTTGTTTTGTTTTGAAGGGCATGATACAATTATTACTGCCGTGGGTTGGGGGGTGTGGAAATACCAGCAGGGAGCTAGTCCTGCCGGCTGCGGGTCGGTGCTACGTGGAGGACCCCAGGTTCTGCAGGAGGCACCTCGGCTGTGGGACAGGGCAGCAGTGTCACCACAGTGCCAGCCCCCCCGCCCCGCACCGCTCCTGCTACCATCGGGCTCCAGCTTTCCGGCCTTGTGGCCAGTCTTCCCCTTTGGGGGGCCAGTGACTCAGCCATGGCTTCCATGTGGCAGGAAGTGGGCACAGTGACTCATGGATGGCTCTGACCCCTCCCACCTGGAGGCTGGGATAGCAGCTGATGCCCCAGGTCAGACATGGCCCCCAATGACGGGGGTCTGCACCCCACAGTGATGTGCCCAGGAAGTACCACTCTAGAGGCCGGGCCTGGAGCACCCCGCCAGCCAGGCCCCCTGGGGGCTGGCTGAACTTGCCCTCTGCCAGCTCTGCCCACAGCCTATGGCGTTTCATGGCCATCTGTGGGCATATGGGCAATGCTGGACACTCCTTAAGGATTCCCCACTGTCTGCAAAGCTGGCAGCCGCTGCCGCAGTCAGTCCCCGACCCTGCCAGATGCCCCAGCCAGGTGCCTTCACCAGGGACCTTGTTAGCACCCAGAAGTCATACAGACACCCAGGTGCCCAGGTCCCCGGGGCCCAGGCCCTTCCAGCCTGTGAAGGCTCAAGCTCTATGGCATTTCCCGCTTGCCTTGGAGACCGGTGCTGGGAAACTGTCTACTCTCTGGTCAGTGGGTTCAAAACCAGCACCTGGACTAGTTAGCAAACAAAGGTTGCTCAGGGCCCAGGCTGTGTCTTCCCTCCAAGACACTCTGACCATTCCAGCTTTTCTTCTCACTTAGGGCTGGGATTACTCACTTCAAAATTAAGGCATGACCACGTTTATGAGGGTGGTCATAAAAGTGACCCAGTGCTTGCACATCTGCTGTCTCATGTATCCTCATAACACAGAGGGAGACTGAGGCTCAGAGACGTTAAGGAACTTCTGGAGGCTACACAGCAGCACCAAGTCTGGGTTTGAACTGGCGTCTTCCTGACTCCAGAGTCCACCCTGCCTTTATCACTCCTTGAGGTGGGCTGTGCATTCTCCTTGACTCTTCGTGGGCTTTCCTGTGTCCACACTTTGTCTGCCAGCTCCAGGGTGGATCAAGAAGGGTGGCCGGGAGGAGGGCTTCCTTATTTTCTGAAGCCTCCCAGCGCTCCGCAGTCCCTGACACGTCGAGTGCTCAGGCATGGCTTCAGGCAGACTGAGTGTCTGATGGAGGGTGACAGGCCCAGCACCAGTCCTTGGCCCCAAGCCCCACCCACACCGACCCTGCGCCTGTTCCTCTTACCCCTGTTCCCGACTGTCCCTCTCCTGTGTGTTCACCTTTGCTTCTCTTTCTCTCCTTTGATTTCCCACTCTGTTCCGTTTTTCCTTCCTTCCCTTTTTTTTTCTTTTTTTTTTTTTGTTGTTGGTTTCTTCTTCTTCTTTTTTTTTTTTTTTTGCGGTACGCGGGCCTCTCACTGTTGTGGCCTGTCCCGCTGCGGAACACAGGCTCCGGACGCGCAGGCCGAGCGGCCATGGCTCACGGGCCCAGCCGCTCTGCAGCATGTGGGATCTTCCCGGACCGGGGCACGAACCCGCGTCCCCTGCATCGGCAGGCGGACTCTCAACCACTGGCCCACCAGGGAAGTTCTATGCTTTTTGTTTTGTTTTTAGTAATTCTTTCTACCTGCTACAACCTAACCATGCTATCTTCAAGGCTAACTTTTTCAATGTCTTCCATAAGGCGATCACAGAAAGCCGAATGTTCTAATGGAATCAAGGTATTCTATATCCATAGCAATTTGCTTTTTGGCCGAGCTGCACGGCTTGCGGAATCTTAGTTCCCCGACCAGGGATCGAACACGGGCCCCCTGCAGTGGAAGCGTGGAGTCCTGAATTGCCAGGGAACAGGGAATTCCCTATCCATAGTATTTCTATGATCTGACAGTCCTGTCAAAGAAGAAAGGACTTATTTGGCCTGAGTTGCTAATAGTAAGTTACAATTTTTTTTTTATCCTTGAAAAAAGGGTAGTCAGTATTCATTTTATTATCATTTCCAGATAGATGAAAAAGAATTGTAAAGCATTCCAAATCTCTCAAACATTTCGGTATATATTTCTACAAGTTTCTAAAAACGTCTAGACGTATGTATGCCAAAAAATTCATAAAAATGCCATCATACCTAAATACTCTTTTATCTGCTTCTTTAACTTACTAATGTTTTGTGAATATCTTCACATATGAATAAGTGTACAGCTAAACTATTTTGATTGGCTGTGTAGTATTCCATTATCAGGACACCTATTCAACAGACCCTACATTACTGGATTCCAATTTTTTTGCCTTTATAAACCTTGCTACATAAACCTGTTATGAACGTGTCTTGTTCCTTCCCTGAAACAAGTTCAGGTCTTATACTCTGCCTTTTCTAAGTATCCTCTGAATCCCCACAGTGTTTATCTATACTTCTCATGTGAACCTATTTCCATTACAAAAATTATACACCGTCTTCTCCCTGCTTGTAGCCGCTAAGATCCTTTAGGGAACAGTCCACCCCAATTTAATGCCTAACACAGTAGCTTGCACTTAGACACACTCCGTAAATATTTGTTGACTAAGGGCATGAATAAACGAATTTATTTAATGATTCATTCTACAGTTTTGCTGGTGATTAACATCATACTCGCTGGTTTCTAGTTCCCGAAGTCTGGTTTCTGCCCCAGTGGGGCCTGGTTTGCCCATCTTCTGGTCCCTCGCCCAATCTCAGGGATGAGAGAAAGTGCAGCCAGGGTTGTGAGCTCCCCCCTCCCATCCCCACGGTCCCAGGATGGCGATGGCCTTGCCCTGGGCTGACACGAGTTGATTCAGAGCCTCCCTGCCCACTCTCGCGGTCGGTCTCCTCTCCTCTCTCGGACTTCAGGTCCCTATTAGCCTCCCCTGGCCCTCCTTTCTTTCTGAATTTGATTGAGAAGCAGGTAAGCTTGGAGCAGGTCCGCATGGCCTTGGGAGGCCATCTGGGGAAGGGGTGAGGTTGTGGCTGCCTTGCGTGGCTCCCTCGTGAGAAAGATACCCAAGCCTCTGCTCTTTAGGGCTTGGGTGAGACTGACAGAGTTTGGGGGTGGGCCAGGACACGGTAGGTGCTCAATCAGGCAGTTTTCTCTCTCCTCTTCCTTTAATGGACACAGTTCAGTCTTCTCCCCTAAGGACTGGGTCTGCCCCTGAGGGAACACTGTTGGTGAAGAGCCCTCCCTCCTTCCCTTCCTCCCTTCTCTCCTCATCTTTTTGAAATATGACCTCAATTCCCTAGAAGTGTGTTTTTTTTTGGCCTCGCCATGCGGCTAGTTCCCCGACCAGGGATTGAACCCCGGGCCCCGGCGGTGAAAAGCTCCAAGTCCCTAATCACTGGACCTCCAGGCAAGTCCCTAGAAGTGTTTTCTTTCGTACCCCAGCCACCAGCACTCTTTTCTCATAGAGCTCACTTGCGATTAGATCGTCTGATCTGTGGATTTTTTTTCCTACTTCATGATTTTCCTTGACCCATTTTCACTCCTAGGGCCTATAGCTTTTTTTGGGCCAGAGTTTCCCTGAACTTTTTGGAAAAACGTCCCCTAACGTCTAGGGAACCCATCTGACAAATCCCAGTGTCTCTCCCCTTAGCTGTCATTAACCCATAGGAAATCACCTGCAAGTGACCCCCCCACAATGAAATTCCTTTCCTGGGGACTTCCCTGGTGGTCCAGAGGTTGAGACTCCACTCTCCCAATGCAGGGGGCCCGAGTTTGATCCCTGGTCAGGGAACTAGATCCCGCCTGCATGGCGTAACTAAGGATCCTTCATGCTGCGATGAAGATCCTGCATGCCGCAGCTGAGACCCGGCGCAGCCAAATAAATATTAAAAAAAAAAAAAAGAAAGAAAGAAGGAGAATTCCTTTCCTGGAGCTCAAACGTCAGCCTCTTGACTGGAATAAGGACCATCATCATCCCCACCGCCACTGTGATCCGTCAACTCAGCCCAAGATTAACTGTTGATGCTATGTCTGGCTCTATAAGGGGTTGCCTTTCTAAATAATGGCTAAGAAAGGCAACGTGATCCAATATAACAAAATCTACTGGGCACCGACTATGTGACTATGAACCGGGGATTGGGGAGAGAAAAGATAGATGAGAATTGGCCTTGCCCTCAAAGAGCTTAGAATCTAATGACTAAGAACTTAGGTTTGGAATTGGAGAGCTTACAACCTAAAATGAAGGAGCAAAAAGATGAATTGGGTAAAATCAGGATAGTTTTGTGTTTTAAAGAATTTTAAAGCGGTGTTGCTTTCCCGTTTCTTCATCAGGGGTAAGTAATTTCCAGTCATCCCATCCATTAAACAAATATGTATTAAGAAAGCAAAACACAGGCCAAGAGCCTGCTGTGTGCATGGCTGGATGCACAATGAGGCCGTCCTCAGGAGACTTGAGCTCTGCTCCGTGAGAAAAGCATAAAACGGAGGGGACACCAAGGTCAGAGGGCAAGTGCCCAACCCTTGCCAGTGAGAGTCATCTTGAGTTCCACTTGAGGGGCTCAGAGTTGGGTCATCGAGGGTGGAAAGTTCTGGAAAAACCCTAATACCCCTGTTGCAACATTCTAGGAAAAATGGTCCGTCTACTGAATAAGGGTGAATCAGCCGGGGAAGGTTTGGGGCTATCAGCGCTGTCCCACGGCCACTTGTCCCCAGTCTTTGGTTCCCCAGTGAAGTTCCAGCTACCCTCTGGGGGCTGAGGGGAGGAGACGGTGAGCTCTGATCGGGAATTTCAATGAGACATATGCAAATGACCAGTGGGCTCTTCAGAGGAAGTTCTGAGAGGAGAGGGCTATGGGCAGCTCAGCGCCCATAACCCGCAAAGCAGAAGTGAGAGCCGTGCGATTTCCCAGTCCTCTCTCCCCGTCTCACCCAGCCCTGCCCCCGTGGTGTGGGCCTCCTTCCCTCTCAGAAATGAGACCTGTGACTTCTCCCCAGTTACCCAAGTCTGAGGAAATGTTTGTCTTGAAAGGAAACTAGACTTGTAAGCCTCTTCTCAGCCCCAGAATTGAGGAATAGATTTGGGGCACCCAGTGGGGCTGAGCAGGTGAAAGGAGGGGCAAAGGAGTAACCCCCCTCCCCCTCCCCCACCTTGAGCACCTACCAAGTATCAGGCCAGGGATCCAGGGCCCTCTGCAAGGTGTCCGCACCCTCACTGGCAGTGAGTGGCTGGTGGGACCAGGACCTGACCTTGCCAGCCAAGTTCCCACACACTCTGGCCCCAGGGCCACTGCCCCCCCGGACAGTAAGCCCCCTCAAGACTGGGCAAATGCTATTTTTCAGGAAACTAGGACACCACTGGGAGTATTTCCGCTGCAGCTCTGGCCTTTGACACAGATGCACATCTGGAAAACGCGGCCTTCCTTCCCCACGGAGTTTTGAACGAGCAGTTCTGGATTCCCAGTAACTTCCACTTGTAATTAATTGTCAATTGATTACCCGTTCACTTACACGTGTCAGTGTGAGGGCGCTAGCCTCTCTGTCAGGAAGTCAACTGTCTATTGACGAGTGAGTCAAAGCATCCGGTGGGTTACTTATTCATGAGCCAGGGTGCCCATGTAGCTGGGTTTCCCTCACCTGTTCCAGCTTGCCCTGAAAGATGGAAGTAAAGGGCCCTGGGGAGAAAGTGCTTTCCTGACTCTTCCTGGGCCCATATTTGAACCACACTTTCTTCCCTCGCTCGCTCTCTCTCTCTCTCTCTCTCTCTCTGTCTCACACATGATTTCCATCCTAGGTCTGGTGGCTTTTGGCCTGACCTTTTACCCATATCCCACAGTGTTAACCCCGGCCAACCCAAGGTGTAAACATGAGATGGCAGCATAAAGCACTGGCAGTAAACTGTAGACCATATTCCTTTTCTTTTTTTTCAAGATGACTTTTATTTTACTTTATTTTCTGGCCACGCCACGCAGCATGTGGGATCTTAGTTCCCCGACCAGAAACTGAACCCGTGCCCCCTGCGTTGCAAGCGCGGAGTCTTAACCACTGGACCTCCAGGGAAGTCCTGTAGACCGTATTTCTTCTTCTGGGGAGTGAGGTGAGAGGAATTGGGGCGTGGCGATGTTTTATTTTTTATTAACATACAATTGATTTTTTATTTATTTTCATTGAGTTTAAGTATACATTTGGTACACGTGTTTTACTCACAGGTATTAGTGTGATAATTTGAAGGAAAAGCTGCGGGGCATAAACTGCAGGGGGAAAAAGTCTGGGGCTAAAAGTGGGTCATCTGAGGACCCAGAAGCTAAGGCTCGAGGGGCAGAGGACATTCTGTGGGCCAGCTGGGCCTGGGCGCTGGCCTCATTACTGAAGCAAGCCACTTAATCTCTTTAAACCTCCAATGCTTCATCTGAACACCAGGAGGACCGCTGTGTGGACCGCTGTGTGGATTCCCCCTCCCTTCTTCTAACGTGGTGCACACGGTGCTGGTGGGATGAAGACCACCTGGGGCTGGTTAGAAATGCAGCATCTCAGGGCCTCCGCATTTTGACAAGATCCAAGTGGCTTCTGCTGACAAAGTTTGATTAGTGCTTTGCTAAACATGACATATTTAAAACACCTAAAAAATTAAAAAAATAATAAAGCACCTAGCAGAGAATTTGGCAATGTTAGTTTCCCTCCTCTTCCCTTCCCTGAGTGTGCTCAGATGGGATTTAGGTTAGGATAGATAATGAATGTGACTTGCAGTCTGATGGTGTCGCATATATTTTGTCTCCTTATAACCATGGTGTGGGATAGGCCACAAGTATTCTTATCTTGGTTCACAGATGGAAGAGCGTGGCCCTGATGAGTCCAGCAATGGGTCCTAAGGTTACAGAGTAGACCCAAGGGGACCAGGGCCACATGTGCAGATGCTCAAAGCTTCACCCACCAAGCCCAGGCTACCCATGGAAGTGGCCACTCCCTCTGGTGGGGGAAGGGATCCAGGGGCCAGCTGGAGCATATGCTCATCAGACGGGTTAGCTGGATAGGATGTAAAAAGATCCCAAGGGGCTGGAGTTTGGTGTCCTCAATGTGACAGTTTAACAACTTTCATTTAATGACCATTTGGGGGGCACCCATCCTTGTGCTGGGCACTGGGAATTCAACACTGAACCATATGGTCACGTGGGGTGATGGGCAAATGGGACACAGGGGGACACTGGCTGTGCCCAGGCAAGCACAGGGTGCTGGGAAGACCACCCCAGACCGAGAGATGGGAGCAGAGGGGCGGAGAGGCTCAGGCGCCAGCACCTGCGTGGTGGGCACTGGATGAGGGAGCACCGTGGCCACAAGGCTCTGGACATTCTCTCAGTGACCTGGCACCAGAGAATGTTCCCGGCCTAGGGAAGGACCTGGGTCTGGCCAAAATAGAGGAGGGAACTGGGCGCGGCCTGGGAGGAAGGTGGGGCGGTGGGGAGGGAGGGGAGCCCTGCCCCAGCGTGCCCTCTGTCCCGGGCGCGCACCCTGCCGGGAAGCCCTGGGGCCGCAGCTGCTCGGGCTGCCCGGCCCAGAATAGCCTCCCTTCCGGGCAGGGCTGCCCCGGCCCGCGGCGCCAGCGCCCGAAATAGGGCTCGGCCTGGAGGCCCGGGGGCGGCAGGCGGTGGGCGCGAGGGACCGCCCCAGCTCGGGGACGCGCCGGGGAACGGGCACCAGGGTGCGCGGCAGGGATCGGGGACCGGGGGCCGGGATGCCGGGCGCGGGCCAGCCGCTGGGTGGCGGGGCGGGGCGCTGACCTCACAGTCCGCGAGGAAGCCCGTCGTCGGGGGCCGGCCGCGCTGATGGAAGGGCTGAGGAATCCGCAGCTGGCGGCGCGATGGGGCATGTGCGTGTGTGTACACTTCCCCTTTAAACGTGGCCCGGAGAGGAGCGGTTGCCATGGGCACGCACCGGGAAGGGGGGTGGGGTGGGTGAAACCGAGGCGCGCCCGGACCGAGGTCCCGGTCCGGTCCTGGTCCGGGTCCTGGCGCGGGGCCCTGCCCGGGCAGGGGAGTCGGGAGATCCCGCCGGCGGGGGAAGGGTGGCAAGGACTCGCCTCCAGGGACACCCCAATCCGAGCCCGCCCCCCGCCCCCGCGGTGTCCCAGTCAGATGCAGTCTTGGACCAGGGTGACCTGAGGAGGCTCTGTGCCTGCCCTGCCCACCGAGAGGTGCGCCTCGCGGGGCGAGGTGGGGGACTAGCACAGGCTGCCCGCTGTTACCCTCCTTGGGCCCTGAGGCTGAGAGTTTAAAAGGTGCCTGACCTCACTCTTTGCCCATGCAGCCACCACCCCTCACCGACCTCCACCCGCCCGCTAACCTCCTCAACCTCTCCCAGCCTCAGTTTCCTTATCTATTAACCAGCGATTAGTCATATCTACCATACAGGGTGGTTGTGATTAAAATAGAATAATTATGTAATGTGCCCTGTGCACTGTAGATGGGGTCCTCTTTCCCTTCTCCCGCCCTCCCTCCTCAATCAGGCCTGGGATCAGTTAGGTCCTCCTTGTCAACATCCCGTCCCCCAGGCCTGGAGCTTCGTGGGGATCAACACCCTTGCCAGGGCTCTCCCCACCTCCTTTCCCCTCAGGGTTACCTTGGAACCCTCCTTATACAAAAGGATGGTTCGACTTGCTGTCGGAACCTGCAGGAATCCCAGGCTGAGGTCCAGGAATATTAACAGAGGGCCCAGCCTGGCTGAAGTGAGTCAGCCTCTCCCGAACATTACTTGCTGCTTCAGCTGCCCTTTGCAGATTGGACCGGTTGGTTGCCAGGACTAAGTGGCCCCTGGAAATCGCTGGAAAAACCAGCATGTCCTGGGGGGGGGGGGGCGTTAAGAGCCAACCCCGGCATACCAGGCCGGTAAGGGGCTCCTGATACCCCTTTGTCTCCTCTCTGGGAACCGAGGCTCAGGGCCGGGGAGCAGTGGTACCCCCTGTAAGGAAGGGCGGGCCTGGCTTACTGTAACTGCCTGGCTAAAAGCCTGATTGTCCTGTGGTTGGGCAGGCCAGCCAGAGAGGGGCCCTGGTGTAGGGAGAGCTCATGCAGTGTGTGAAGTGGAGATAGGCATGACTGCTTTCCCAAGGAGAGTTACTAAACCAGGTGGGGCTGCCAAGAGGGCGCCATTTCTCCCCCCAAGCAGGTCAGGCCACTAGTTAAATGCCAGATTATTTGCAAGAAATAGTTGGTCCGCGGCTCAGCCCCTTCCCAGGGGCATCAGAGCAGCCAGTGTTGACCCAGCACTCACTATGTCCTGGGCAACGTGGGTGTTCGCTCACTGATCTATGACAACAACCCTAGGAAGTGGGGACCGTTATTATCCCCATTGTAACAAATGGGGAGCAGATTCAGAGACCTGCCCTGGTCTCCTAACTTTGAGGAGGCGAACTGAACCGGGATGAAAACCCAGACTCTTAATCCCCAGTCCGTCTGGCCTCCTGGGTGTGGGAACCAGTGTGGCCCGGAAGAGTAGTGGATGGCCCAGCGGACTGCCCAGGTGTCTGAACCCCTCCCCCCAGGCACGCTGTCTGCTGGGTACTCAGCTGACTTCCTGTCCCTGGAAGAGCAGCTGCGGGTATGCTGGGGTAGGGCGGTCCCCTTCCTGTAGTTCAGGTACAAGCATAACCCCATGCCTTCTTGGCATCCTCCCTCCCTCCTTTCCCAGGCTCTAGATGTCAGACAGAATTGGACGCCCCAGAAAGCCTCTCAGGGCCAGAGATTTGTCCAGAGTCTCCAGCTGTAGGTGAGGGGCCGAGGGGGCGGAGAGAAGGGGCTGCAGGCCCCGGTTGAGGGGAGGACCTGAGAACTCTCCTTTCAGCTCTAACAGACCACCTGGAGCTTCCTTCATCACGCTTCCTCTCTGATGATGATGTCGATGCAGGGATGAAAGATGCAGATGAAAGTCCCTTAACTTCATATCCCCAGCTCTCCGTAACCTGGTCGTCTGGAACATCTGAGGGGTGGAGGCTGCCGCGCTCCTGTGTCCACTTCACCATCAGATAACCCAGGGCTTTGCAAAGAGCTGGCCGTTGGGCATCCCCTGGACTCTTCCCTAGGTGACATTGCCAAGGAACGGTGGCACTGGCAGATTTCCCATGCCCGGCCCCGAGGCTTCACCTTCCCCTGTCTTTTGCACATGGAAGCTCAGAATAAGCTTTCTAGAGGATGCTCTTTCTTGTGTGTAGCATCACCTGAGGTTGCTAATACTGAAGCTCTTCACCAGAGAAACGTAGGAAGCATCCCTGCAGCTAAAAGAGGCGATGTCTGTAGAGGACCAGGCCATGCCAAGCAGGCTACAGACGCATGCTCCCTCCTCCCCAGGAGGCACTGCCCTCGGCTGTGCAGACTGCCTCTCAGGCCTGCCCTTGGCCAGGCCATCTGCTGGGCCCATCCCTGGGCGCCTTTGAAGCCTGTCCTTTGCTCAAGGTGTCTTGGATGGAGTATAAAGTGGCCTTCCTCCTGTTCCTCTGCCCAAGAGCAAAGAAAGACACATTTGTTAGGCTCTTCCTGGAAAATGCAAGGAAAGAAAAAAAAATGTTCTTCATTTTAGATCCTGCAGGACCAACCAGCAGTACAGGGTTGAATAGTATACCCCAAATTCATGTCCATGTGGAGTCTGTGCATGTGCCCTTATTTGGAAATAGGGTCTTTGCAGATGTAGTTAAAGATGAAGTCATACTAGATTTGTTTGGGCCCTAATCCAATGACTGGATACAAGAAGAGGGAGAGTTAGACATAGGCACACGGGGAAGACAGCCATGTGAAGACGGAGGCGAAAACTGGAGTGATGTGTCTGTAAGGCAAGGAACGCTAAGGATTGCTGGTGATCAGCAAATGCTGGGGAGAGGCAGGGAAGGATCCTCCCCTAGAGACTTCAGGGGGCACATGGCCCTTGCTCATATCTTGATTTGGGACTTCTGTCCTCCAGGACGGTGAGAAAATCTGTTTCTGTTGTTTTAAACCCCCTAGTTTGTGGACCTTTGTTATAGCAGCCCCAGGAAACTCATACGAGCACCAAATGTCAAACAGAGGGCAGTTGTGGAAAACAAGAAGGAAATGCAGCAGGCACAGAAAGGAAAGGCTTGGATGAAACCAAGGAGGAGACAGGAAGGAACACTTCCTAAGCATCCTCCTCCCACCCGGGACAGGAAATGGTGGCCAAGCCTTGCCGGGCTCCACTTTCCTCATAGCGGGGGTGTGGGGGGTTGGATGGGGGTGAATGTGGGAGGTCATTTTGAATCTTGCTGGTCCCAGGGAGACCCTGCTAATAATACTAAACCTGTGACATGGTCTTGTCCCTACCTCATGACAATCCATGAAGTGGGTTTTGTTGAGATCCCTGTGTATAGATTAAGAACCACGGCTAGACTGTTAAGTACCCGCCTAAGGTCATTTGCCAGGAAGCAGTGATCTGGGACACACACCCAGCTTTCCTGCCACACAGCGGCGCTCTGCCCTCTGCCGGTCCGGGGCTCCTGTGCCCATGTCCGGTGTCTCGGAAGGGTTGGCACATGCTGGCCATGGGCAGGGATGCTGCAGCCCAACTGCCTGGGTTTGGACCCAGCTCTGCTCCTGGTTAGCTGTGTGACCTTAGGCACGTCACGTTACATCCCTGTTCTGTAGTTCCCTCCACTATAAAAACGGGGACAATAATAGGAACTAACTCATGGAGTTGCTGGAGAATTAAATGCGTTCCTACCGTCCACGTGCTTAGAATAGTGCTTGACGCGTCAGAAGCAGGCCACGAAAGTATGTGAAATAAATAAAATATGTGGGTGAAGGTTCTTTCCCTGCAGGGTCGGGGCCAACAAGAGGGCCTATGGGACGGTGAATCTTTCTTTATTCTTACTCCACAGGCCAGGGGGAGACCAAGGCCAACAGCATTCTCATGCAGTCCTTGTCTGTTTCCCACTGAACCCTCCAGAGACCAGCAGGGAGGGCCGCTGAGACCAGAGAGCAGAGTCCTGGGCAGGCTGACTCAGTTGCTCGAATCCTCCCTCCAAGGCCAAGAACACCTGTGATCCTGGATCAGGACAGCTTTCTCCTCCCAGAGGAAAGCTCGGACCCCTGCCATCACCTCGCCGCTGAATCCTGGTCAGTGTTCTGCCAGTTAACTGTGTTGCTCACAGTGGGAAGCTAGACTGGGGTGATTCATCATCACGCATCACCCCATGGAAAGCTCATCTACAGCGCACGTCGGAGGGACGGTACTGGGCGTTGCGTTTACAGACGGAGCTCAAAATGTGCTGAGCGGCCTGTGCACGCAGCAACGTGCCCAGCCCGGGCACATCCAGGAAGTCCTCCAGGCATCTCTGGCCATTTCTCCATCTTTCTCCCGGGGGCCTGCAGCCTCTACCGGTTTTCTGGCCCTTTTAATTGCTTCCTCTCCAGATGTCTCTCCTACCAGTGACGAAGTCCGGCCTGATGGTCCCAGGGCCTTATATATTCTGCCAGGGTTGAGGCCCCTCCCCTCCCCCACTCAGGATGGACCAGCTCAGTCCTTACCCTGGTGTGGGCACAAGGTCTCTTGTTGCAGCTGGGCCCCTTGGCTGACCTTCTCAGCTCCTTCTCTAAGGCTGGAGAGGCCTGGCAGGATGCCTGCAGGCTCCTCCCCTCCACTCCAGGGCTCTGGCCAGAGCCTGGTCAGGGTCCTTGCTGAGTTTCCAGCCAACCCCTGGAGTGATGGCCTGAGGAGTCCAGTGGGGAAACCCCAGTGTGTAGGGCAGTATTCCATTGACTGTCCCCACCCCCTGATTGGGCAATGCCGGCTGGTCTCTGAATAGCTTCTGGGTGGCCTTCCCGCCAGACCCCCTTGCCTACTTTCACCAGGTGCCAAGGAACACTGAAAAGGGCAGCGAATGGCTAGGGGACCACGCTCAAAAGCCAGCCTGCCTCCCTCCCAAGCTGGCTCCTTTCCCTCCAGCCTCCTTTTCATAGAATTGTATTACAGAAGGGGATATAGAGGTCATCTCATCCCTCCCCTGGCTTCCAGAAGGAATAGTTTAGAGTGATATTGGGGTTCTCTGAGGCTTTACGCAAAACTCTGCACATTTGGTTGGCCAGAGGTCTCACTGGAGTTTCCTTGGCAATTCTGTGTCCATTGGGACACCAGCCCTGAACGTCTGAGGCTCCCAGACGCTGGGAGATGGGATGACCCTGGTGTTCCCTGCAACCACTCAAAGTCTCTATGGATGGAATGGCAGCCCCAGGACTGTCCCCCAGGGCTGACTGGTCTCTGATAAAAGCCAGGTGTGGATCCAGCTGCCATTTGGGTCCCTTGGGGAGCTTTCACAGTAGCTGCTAAATGGAGGTCCTGGATGGTGGGGACTCACACACACAGGTGCAGGTAGTGGTAGAAAGGGCAGGCGATCAGTGTTCTAAGTCTACTCCTTCCACTAACCGTCTGTGTGACTTGAGGCACGCCTAAATCTCTTGACACCTTAGTTTGCTCATCTGGAAAACGCAACATATTTCATTTGAGCTGCCTCACTTACCTCTGAGTTATATAAGGAGGGAAGAGCGAGATAATATATTAGGATGTGTTCTGAAAAAAACAAAAGTGCTATTCATGCCAACACAATGTATTAAAAATAAAAGATGCCGGGGCTTCCTTGGTGGCGCAGTGGTTGAGGGTCCGCCTGCCGATGCAGGGGACGCGGGTTCGTGCCCCAGTCCAGGAAGATCCCACGTGCCGCGGAGTGGCTGGGCCTGTGAGCCATGGCCGCTGGGGCTGCGCGTCCGGAGCCTGTGCTCCGCAACGGGAGAGGCCACGACAGTGAGAGGCCCGCGTACCGCAAAAAAAAAAAAAGAAAAGATGCCTATTTGCTTCCCGAAGTAAAAGTTGTAAACGATTTAAATCATATTTTAACGACTCCAGAAACCCCTTTATTTAAAGACATTTCTTTCTTTTGTACAGTCAGGGGTCAAGCATTTGGTGGGTTTCCATTGGGCGCCACCGACTCTGCCGGATTTTGTGATGAATGTAAAAAACTGGAAGATCCAGTGCCTGGTGCAGAGTAGGCATTCAATAAGTTATCATCGAAGGAATGAATAAGAGAGTTCTTCCTTCAGAGAGTTCATAGTCCAGCCTGGAGGAAACTGGCAACCACCAACGAGAGGCAGAATTGGAAGAGGGAGAAGGGCTGTCTGGGCTGGTGGGATAACCCCAATGTGAAACGGGCTCACAGGTGAGCACAGGTGTGAAGCCTATGGTGGGCAGGTAAGGAGACCACCTTGATGGGAGGAAGTAAGTCTCCCAGTGTGGGGTGGAGCGGGTGGGCGAGTTGAAGACAATGAGCTTTCCTCTAGGGTGAGAGTCTGAATGTATTGGAAGCGGCTTAGAGGAAAGTGCCGCGGGAACCAGTGTGCATCCTACGGGGAAGGGCTGTGTGCGTGACGTGAGGATGAAACCAGTATGTTTAGAAGATGAGCCTGGCATGGAAGTGCCTGATGGGGACACACCAAACTTCTTGAAGTTCCCCAAAGCCTTCTTTTCCCTTTTTTGGCCATCTCCCTGTTTCTGATCATTAGAATGCCCCGCTGTCCCACGCCTGCCAAGGGAACACCTGCTGTTTCCCATCACCAGAGTCACCTCTTCTGGGAAACCACTGTAGGTCATTTCCTCCTGGGGGCCTCCAGATGTACCCTGTATACCATTTTATTTTTATACTCATTCCTTTTTAGGATACTTATTGGTTTTCACGTCTGGTTCCCCTTTCAGACTAAGTCTCTTGAAGTCTGAATGTTTCCTGGTTGGCAATGATCTCTCCAGCATTGGTCACAGTGCCCAGAACAGGGCTCCCACCTGCATTGATATCACCTGGGGCACTGGGCAGGTAAGCATCAGGTACTAATAATTCACCCTAAAGCTCAGAAACGCTGCAGCCCCCATCACACAACTTCGTGGGACCCCCACCCACAAAGCTCATACTGTGAATAGCGCCCCCTGTGGTTGTGTACACATCACATCAGCCTCCTGTTTTTTGTTTGTTTGTTTGTTTGTTTGTTCTGCGGTATGCAAGCCTCTCACTGTTGTGGGTGGGCTCTCCCATTGCGGAGCACAGGCTCCGGACGCGCAGGCTCAGCGGCCATGGCTCACGGGCCCAGCCGCTCCGCGGCATGTGGGATCTTCCCACACCAGGGCACGAACCCGTGTTCCCTGCATCCTCAGTCGGACTCTCAACCACTGCGCCACCAGGGAAGCCCCCCTCGTGGGTTTTATGTTTCATGTCTATACCTTCATCATCCTATACATTATGGATACCAAATAGCATTTTCTGTATGAAAAGAAGATTTGGGGGAGGCGAGGTGAAAGAGAGGAAACATTTTATTGTGTAATGTAAATAACGAACTTGCATCGTTTGTTCTTTTAAGTCTAGGTTTTCCACCTTTCTCTAAGGCTGGGCCTGATTATTACAACGAATAGCAGCTGTGATCGTATTTACGAGGAGAGCGCGCAGTTTTAGTATTCAGAGCCCTGGCTTCAGATGAGAGCCGGGGGCCTCTGATTCTCTCTGCAATGCAGCCTTCCAGGCCACTGCTGTTGCTTAAGGCTGTGCTGCAATCCGGAGCACTCAGGAGTGGGAAGTCCAGAGTTCTCCCCACTTCTGGGAACAGCCCTCCATCCCCCTCCCTGCGCCAGCTTCCACAGGCAGTCCTCATGACAGTGGGTCAGGCTAACCCAGGGTTTCACAAATGCCTGGCCTGTTCCCAGCACAGCACAGCTGGGAGGGCTCAGCACTGGGGGAAGGAGCACCGTCCTCCTCCCCCTGCCATCCTCAGGCTGGGGCCCAGGGGCTGGAGCCCAGCAGAGGGAAGGGCTGCACTTGTCTGCACTTGCCCCAGTGCGGGCAGTGATCCTGGGCCTTCCCTCCCTGCTAATTTCCCAGCTCTGGCTTAGTCAAGTTTCAAGGAGGATATTCCCTTTCCTGGGAAGTGAGGAGGATCCAGGCTTGTCTTCCCCAAAGGAAGCGAGTGGTCTCAGAGTCACCTGAGGAGGTGTTGCGTATTGAGATTCCCCACTCTCCTAGGGGCTTCTGATTCAGAAAAGCTGAGCTTGGAGTCCGGGAATCTGCAATTTCAGCCACTCCCTGGGGACTAGCCGCAGGTGGTTCTTTGGCTTTCATGAGCCTTGGGAGGGAGGCAGCTCTGGGAGGTGAGAAGGGTTGAGCCAAAAAAAGCCCTGTTTTCTCAGGTAGGACCTCCGGCTCTCTCTAATGAGCTCCATGACTCTGGAATAACTGCCCTTGTAATCCAAGTCTCACTTTCACTATCACTGAAATGGATGTGTGACCCGAGGGAAGGGTGATCAAATGCCCTGGACATTCAGGGCTACTAACCCAGGACAAGCTGGTCACCGTACCTGAGGATGAGACAGGACTGTGGATGTTCGAGGTACTGGAAATGTGACTTAAAGATGAGTCTTTGCGGCACAAATATCAGACTGTTTATTTTATTTACATTTTAACTAGTGTCTGTCACTTCCACTAAATATCTGGAGAGCAGGAGTAGCAGGGCCTTGTCTTGTTCACACTCAATCCCCTGACACACAGGATGTGTTAATGGGTACTCGCTGAGTGAATGAATGAATGAGTGAATGAATGACTGACAGGCAGGGGTTGAGGGACTCCAAGGACAATGGTCTGGGGGGGAGGGGCTGCCGGCCTGGAGGGGGGATCTCGGCTCCCCTGGGAAAACTTGATCCACTCATGGCCGACAAAGAGTCAGGGGTTTCTGAGCAGCCTCCCCTCGGAGGGGTCAGTGACCCCCAGGGACGAAGGACTGCCTCCCTCCCTCCCTCCCTCTCTCCTTCCAGGAGCCCCGGGCGCGCCGGTCCATCCTCTATCCTCCCTCTCCCGCCCCCCACCCCAGGGAGGTGCGCCTGGCAGCCTCCCGGCCGAATTTCCTGGCACTGGTCTGAGAATAAACAGCACTCTGCGCCTGTAATTCCGTTGCCACGGCGACCGCTCCGCGGGCGGCGGGGGCGTGTCGGGGGCGTGTCGGGGGCGTGGGCTGTCCTCCGCGCTCACTCTCGGCTGGGCAGCTGCGGTGGCGGCGGCGGCGGCGCGGGCCCGGGAGATGCCACCCGCCAGGCTCCGCGCGTACATTCTTCGCATAGCTCCGTCAGGGCTCCCGCGGTGTCCGGGAAGTGACTCTTCCTGGCAGAGGCAGGCCTCCAGAACGACGCGCCCGCCTGCCCGCTCGCCCGGTGGCCGCCGGATCCGGAGGGGGCGGGACGCGGCGCGGGAAGGTGCGCCCGGGACCGGGTTCTTCCCACCTCGGCCTCGGTCTTCCCGGTCCGCCCCTGTGCACATTGTCCCCCACCCCGCAGGCTTCTGTCTCTGCTTAGACTCCCTCTGTGGCTATCTGACTCTGCCCTCTCTCTCTCTCTCTGCCTGGTACTCCGGCGGTTCCCCCTCCCAAACATCCTTAGACTAGGACACACGTGCCCGCTTACTTTCCATCTCCAGCTCCCCTGTCTGTGGCCTCCTTCCTTCCCTCCCCCAGAGCAAGCCTCAGAGTTCCCGTTCCTGGCTCTAACTCATCAGGAGGCCTGCCGAAAGACAGCACCACCGGGGAGAGGATAAGGACCTCTTGGGGGTGGATTCCTACAGCGCTTGAAGCACGGTAATAGGGCCCACGGTCTGGGGAGCTCCATCTCCTCCCTTTCTGTTGGCCAGGGACCCCCAGCTGGGCTTAACCCCCTGTGCTTAACCCCCTTTGTGGCTCAAGCCGCAAAGAATTTTCCCTATGCCCTGCAGGACGCTTCTTAGCAAATCTGGGAACCAGGTGCACCCCTCCTCTGGCGGCCAGGACAGAGGGTCGCCCACAAAGTCCTCTGGAGGAGCGGTGTCTGCCTCTGAAAGGACTGAGAAGTACAGAAAGACTTCTGCAACACGGGTTGCTATGAGGAGGGAAAACAGGGAGAAGTGCTGGTGAGCAGACCAGTCTGAGAGATTCTTGTCCTGATGTTGCCGTTAGCTGGCTGTGTGAAGTCCAGTAAGTTGCTTTCCTTCTCTGGGAGTCACTTTGACTTGTCTGCAAACCAGAAGGTTGGTCCGGTCTGTGGTCTGAAAATGGAGAGACCTATGGGAAGGAAGAAGGGTGGGGTGGGCAGCGAGGGAAAGGAGTCAGGGGTCTTCTGCCTCTGAGTTCCACCTCCAAGGGGTAGGGAGAGCCACTTCCCCCCTGCAGCCCCTTCCGTTAGCACCCTCTAAACTCTGGACATCCTGGCTAAACAGCTGCCTTCTGGGCCTAGGACGGGGCCTTCGTGTGCTCTGGGTTCCAAGGTTCCATCGAGGCTGTCAGGCCAGCAGATGGTGGGGTGGGGAAGAGCCTACCAAAAGTCTCCCGGGCTCTCGTCCTCCTGCGAGGCGCTGGGGAGCCAGGCCCTACTGGGTCCCCTCACCTGACCTTGTGCTCTGGGAAGGTGACCTTGCCTGGGTCTACATTCCCAGTTCCAGAGGTGGTAGTCTCTCTGGTGTGCTTCCTAACGTGCTCTGTCTACTCAGTGGTCCCATGCCTGGCCTCGCCCTTTCTCGTCACTTTAGGTTATTTTCCCCAAAAGTCCAGGAAATGGGAAAGAAAAACGACTTTGTTTATTTACTCTCAGTTGCCTTTTGGACACTGATTCCTGAGCAGCTTATCGGGGGCCAGGAAGAGGGCTGTGGCATTTGTTTCAGGCATCCGAGGCAGAGGAGGGGATGGGGCCCCTGACTTGGGGAGAACACTGATCCAGCTGTCAGGCTTGGGGCCTTGGGGGAGAAGAAGCATGGAAGGAAAATGTCACAGAGCAGGCACTTTTAGTTTGCCTTTTTAGCAGAACCCTAGTGCTGAGTGTGGGGGTGGGGGTGGGGGGGCGGTTACCAACCTCTTGACTTTGCAGGGGGGACCCACCTAGGGGCAACCCCGGGCATATTCTTTGTGCTTACTTAAGGGAGGCAGAGAGAGTTCCTGGGCTTTGGAAAAATCAAAGGCTCCCGGATTCCTAACCTGTGTCTTTCCCACATTCCCAAGAGGTGTGTCCTCGGGCAGGTTGCCTAACCTCCGTGAACCTGAGATGCTGCCCCCAGTCAGCCAACAAATATTTACCGAGCACCGTTCTAGGCATCAGAAGTGACCCGTCCAAGTCCCCGCTCCCATGGAGCACACAGCTGGGCCTGAGAATATGCGGTGATAACACCAGCCTCCTGGGGGCGGCTGGGAAGGTGACCACCGACCCAGGTGGTCTCTGAGTGCCCAGAGGGTGCGAGTGGCTGAAAATAGGTGAATAGATGGCTGCTCTTATTGGGAGGTATGTGGCCCCATCCACTTCTCAGGCTGGGGCTCCTACCCCTGGGGAGGGCCCCACTTAGTGCAGGGTTTGCATTGGGACTCCCCCTCCCCCCACCTCCCATGGACCCGGCTGTGCTGAGGTCACGGGTCGCCTCCAGGACCCCATAGTCTGGGCTCTCTCGGAACACCTCCCTGACGAGGAGCCCAGCGCCTCTAATAGCTTGAAGCTTCTAAAAGCTTTGACCACAGCTCAGTTCATACTCCCTGCAAGCCCTTTGAAGCGCTTCCTTCGAACTTGCTTTGCATATTCTGGTCAGATCTGAATCAGACTAGCAGGAATTACCCCTCTCGGTACAGTCTAGGTGGCTGCCTTAGCTTGTCAGTGACGTGAAGCCGAGTTTGATTCCATCACAGGGAGCGCCAGGGCAGCAAGGCGGTAGAGCCGCCGCCCTCTGATGTAGGGTGTAGGTGTGGCTGAAAGAGCAAGTAAGGCAGGAGGGGCGGGGGAGAAAGGCTCAAGTCAGGTTCTTCATTAAAAAATAGTGCTCTTTATTATAAATTACTGAAATGTTTCTGTTTTGAATATAAATATAAATATGTGCAAAGTCTGACTTGGGTTGTTGGTATTTTGGTAAGTTCTTCAAGCATCTCCTGGCAGCCTCGAAGGCCTGGGTGGGGGAGGGGAGGACTGGAGGTGGAATCTTTATAAAAGACAGCGTGATTGAGGCAGATTGTAAACATTATTAAAAAACAAAAACGAAACCCAAACAAAATAACAGGAAAAAAAAAACAAAAAAACACCCCAACACACAGCTGCCCCACCCAGCCCAATACCTGACACAGAAAACTTTGTGTTTAGTTTTCCCCAAAAAAGAACAGTTCCAGGTAATTCCATCCCCGCTACATTACTGTAAGTTTTCACTGATCAGTGCTATTGCAGAGCGGGAGCAGCTGGGTGGCAGGGCCTCTCGATGACTTCCTGCCTGTGCCAGTCCCCCAGGGTGAGGAGGGAGGGCTGTGCAGGGTCTGGGGGGCTGTGGAGCCTGGTGGCTCTGCTCTGGCCAGAGCCCAGGCACCACTGGCCAGCCAGTACCCACTGGGCTGGCATTCTTCCTGCGCTCAGGTGGAAGGCATGGATCTCTGCCCCCCACCCATGCATCTCTGACCTCCCCCGCCGAATGGTGTGTGGCCGGTGTACGCCCCTCTGAGAATCTCTTGGCCTCTGCCTGGATTGGCTGAGTGTGTGGCTTCTTGTGTGCCAGTCCCTATCCATGGGACAGGGAGCATTTAAGGCAAATCTCCTAGCCAGATATAGTCAGGAGGCACAAAGTAGAATCCCCCATCTTCTCTGTCCAGGATCTGGGCTCAAAGGTGGCTCATCTCCTCCATCTCCTCCAGCCCCATCCCCCAGGTGCCGAAAGGTATAGCATGGGTGGGGAAAGAAGAATTGACCAGCCGTCCATCCTCTTCCAAATGCCACTCCCCCCTTAAAACAGGGGAAGGGCCCTGGGCTCTCCGGCATTAGATGCACTCTAGGACCTGTGTTTCTGGTGGCTGTCCGAAAGGGGAGGAAGAGGGGGAGCGGAAAGGTCCCCTTCAGGCCACCCCTTGCCCTTCTCCCCTGTGTCAGAGGTGGAGCAGGCAGCCACCCTCCTCACCTGGGCTGGGCGATGGGGGTGACCATTTCCTTGGCCAGCCGGTAGCCCTGGGCCCCTGAGGCGCCCTCTCTCTCATCCACCCTTTTCCAGGCCCGCGACCTGCTCAGATTTAAAGCTCTGTTTAAAACCAAATCAAAGAGCAAACAAGTTCCGTTGGAAAGTTCGAAGATTCCCCGGCAGTTCTCACCAGTTCAACACGCCCGCAGTGTCCCCCGTTTGGAAGCGCAGGGGGGTCGAGAAAGCGGGACAGGAGAGAGAATCCACTGAGGTCGTTGCTGTGGTCCCCCTGGGCCCGCCGGCTCCTCCGGAGAAACTGGCGTGGGGGAGGGGCGCTCAGGTGGCTCTCCCCCTCCCCTCAAACACATTCCAGGTACCGCCCGCCCAGTTCTGCAGGGGGAGGACCGGAGGGAGGGGCCTGTCCGCCCCCTAGCTCACCCAGAGCTGCAGGACTCTCACGGCTGGATTCTTGTGCTTATGCCATGTGCCATGGAGGAGAGGGGACCCGGGCCCCTAGCCCCTAACCCTGCCCTTTGCTCTCTAAAGGGGGGCATCGTACTGGTCCAGGAACTCCCGAATGGGCCCAGGCAGCTGGGTGACTTTCTCATAGGAGTCCAGGTGGCCGTTAACGGTCTTCCGACAGAGATGTTGGAGAGTGGCCACGTTGGAGGAGAGGGGCCGGCTCAACACCAGAGGGATCTTCTCGCCCCCCGAGTAGATGTAATAGGCTCTCCTGGGGGGGCTCCCCGGGAGCGGCTGGGCCGACGGCTGCTCGGGCACCTCGGAGGAGGGCGAGGAGGAGGGTTCAGTTGGGGGCGAGGAGGAGGGTTCAGCTGGGGGCGAGGAGAAGGAGGGGGCGCCGGAGGGCGGCATGTAGTGATGCACCAGCTTGAGCACGCAGTCAAAGCGGGGCACTGGCTGCGTGCTCCGAGGATCGCTCTGCAGCGAGAAGCTGCCCCCCTCGCACTGGATGCGCAGGTTCTTGGTCCCCGACTGCGTCTTGACGCTGAGCGTGAAGAAGTGGCGCTGATCCGAGCTGTCGCGTATGAGGAAGGTGCCGGCGGGCTCGGCGCTGAGCAGTAGGTTCGCCTCGCCGCCCGTCACGGCGCTCCAGTAGAAGCCGCTCTCCTGCAGCTTGCGCACTGCGTTCACCACCAGCTGGTACTCGCTCTTGGAGCTGAAGGTCTTGAGGCGCAGGCTGGTGTCCAGGGGGCGGCTCATCCCGGCGGCGGGAAACTTGCTGTGGGTGACCATGGCGCACGGAGCCAGCGTGGATCTGCGCGGCGGCGGCTGCAGCTGCTCGGCGGCCTCCGCACAGCGGCCGCTACCGCATCCCGGGGAGCTGCGGGGAGGAAGGCGCGCGCCGCGTGAGTACCCGGAACCCTCCAGCGCGCCCGGCCCACCCCGGCTCCCCTCCCTCCGCCGAGCGGCCGGGACACCAGCTGCCCCGGAGGCGCTCGCCTGGGCCCTCGTTCCGACCCAGACACCCCACGGAGCCCGCCCAGCCCCCGCCTCCAGGCAGCCCTTTCCCCAGCGCGCACTGGGAAGGCGCCGAGTGGGAAACTCGGGCGCGGAAGTTGGGTCTCCAGGAGCGTGGCCGGGGTGGGGAGCGGGAGAAGGGCCCCGGGACGCTCTGGACGCCGCTCAGTCCGGTGGCCCCGGGCGGCAGGGACGGAGAAAGAAATCCGAGGCATGGGGGTAGGGAGGGGACACGAGAAGCCCGAGGGCCCCAGCCTGGGTATTCCGGGAACCTGGGATCTCCGGCTTCCATCCGCTCTGCCCCCTATCTCGTCCCCTCCCTGCCGGGAATGACCCGGGAAGGGGAGGGGAAACCAGGAAAAGCTCCCGGGACTAGTGAACCGACCCCCCCTCCACGCCGCGCCCCTCCTTCCTACCTGGTCCCAAACCGAAGTCTCTGGCCTTGGGGCTGCCCCTCCTACGGTCCCCAAGGCGCGGCGGCGGCGCGGTGGCCAGCGGTGGCCCGCGCTGCGCCCAGATGTTGGCGGTCGTGAAGTCCACAAAGGGCCCTCGCGCGCGCGTCCCTCGGGCTTCGCCGGGACGCCCGCCCTGCCCCCTGCGCGCCCCCGGGCTGGTCGGGCGGGGGCGAGGCGAGGGATCGCGGCGGGAGCTGGGCCGGGCGGGCGGCGTGCGGGGCCGGAGTCGCGGCGGCGGCGGCGGCGGCGGCGGCGACGGCGGCGCGGGGAGTCCGAGTCGGAGCCGGCGCTGAGGCCGCGCTCGCGGGTATATACGCGGCCGCGGCGCCCCGCCCCCCGATTCCTGGAACTGCGCGGCCGGCCTTCTTGTAATGTTTAGTCACTACTCGCAGCAATGAAAGGCTGTGCGCGGATGGGAGGGAGGGGCCGCGGGCGACCGAGGGCGGGCCGCGAGCAGGGCCAGAGACCCGCAGAGACGCGCGCAGAGACAAAGCGCAACGCGAGGCAGCCGGGGCGGCCGGCGGGCTAGGCGCCAGCCCCGGCGGCGCGTTCCTGGCAGCGGCCCCTCCCCCGCGCGCGCTCCGCCCCCAACTTCTCATTCACACTTTCCCCCTCCCTTCTAAGAAGGCCAGTTTCTGGCAGAGGCGGGGGCGCCGCTCCCAGAGCGCGGGCAGTTCCAGGAGGCCGAGCGGGAGAGGCTCCCGGCTCCCCTTCCCTTTTCTCGGACCTCGTGGGGAGACCCCCTCGCCCTCCCGCGCCCGCCCGAGATCCCGATCGCGGCCCCAGGAGGCCCATGCCTGCCTCAGGGGAACGGGGGACACCCCAAGGCCGGGCCGCGAAACTGGGACCGGACCTGGGAGCCCTGGGGGGTGGGGACGCCCGACAGTCACCTGTGGGCATGTCCCCGAGGTGAAGCCGGGAGTCCTAAGGGTGGAGGGGACGCAGCCTGAGTGGCTGCTGTCCGGCCTCAGCCCATCGGCCCACCGATAGGTTCCTTGCCGATGCAACACGGGTGCCGCCTCCCACCACCAAAAAAACACAAACGCAAACAACAACCGCTTTCGCACTTCTGGGTCTCCAAACCTGCGAGGTGAGGTGTGGGTCCGGCCAGGTGCTCTTAACGCGGCGGGACTGGCCCGAGGGCGAGCGATGGCCCCACCCCGCGCCCCGCGTCCGCTAGAGGGCGCCCTGGGGTCTGCTAGTTGGAGCGGAGTTTGGTGCTGCTCTCCCCCCCACCCCCAAGCCCTGGAACGGGAACCCGAAGGGGCGGTGGGGAGGCTGGCTCAGGAGCTGGGGCGGGAGGGACCTTCTCGGGGGACCGAGTAGAATTCACATCACAGTCTGGAGTTAGACCTGGGAATAAAAGTCTAGCAGTGGAGGATTTCCGGAAAGCAGTTTTCACTTCAGCCCGCTTCCAGATAGCCCGGGACAGCCTAGAATGTGCGCCCCCTCTGAGTGTCGGGGCCCGATCTCTCCCCGGGGGTGAGGAGAAGAGGTGATTGAGGTGAACAGCGGATCTGTTCTTGGTCACGTCGGCGTGGATGTGGGTGGTCTGAGCTAACCAGGGCCAGCTTTACAAAGGATGGAAAATTTTGCCATCTGTCCCCAAACAGGCAGTGGGGTGCTGGAGACACCTGAGAACTAGCTTAAGTGGCACTTAGATTGTCATCTCTCAGGACGCAGGGGCTGAGAGCTTTGGACGCTGCCCTTTTCCCAGATGCCATGCCACAGAATATAAGGACTCAGAAAGGAAGGGAGAGACCCTCGGGAGTTTAGAACTCGGAGACACGGCTCCTTTGCTTCTCTAGGAGCTGATAGGCACCTCACTGCGCCTCCAACTTGCCGCTGCGTCTTCGGTCTGTGCCATCACTTCTCTCCCCCACAGATGTCAGGGGACTAAGTGAGATGTGGTCAGGACACCCAGTCTCTCTGGAATTCAGCTTTGCCATCCGTAAAGTAGGAATAATAATCTTTTCCCATCAGAGATCTGAGATTAAAAAGACAAGAAAAGATTCTGCACATCAAAATATGCTAGACATGGAAGTAATTCAGTGCAGTTCCCCCTTTGGATTCTGTTAGGAGAGCAGTAGTCAGGAGGAAGTCTTGTTACTCCTGCAGAGGGGGAAATTCACAAATATTGGACTCTATGTACCAGACATTGTGCTGGGCATTGACATATAATGACGAATAAGACCTAGTCTTTGCCCTCCAGATACTTGCGGGCTAATGAAATGGATTCTCCTTCTTTGTAGAATCAGGAGTTCATTCTTTTTCTCATCCATTGCTTAGGAGGCTGCCACCATGACCATCCACTGCTGTGCTGAGCCCCGTGGAGGACAAGGAAGGCTCACAAGGAATAGCCCTTGAGTTAATGGATGAGAAACTGCTTTGTAAATTACAAGGCTCTGGGGCTTCCCTGGTGGCGCAGTGGTTGAGAGTCCGCCTGCCGATGCAGGGGACGCGGGTTCGTGCCCCGGTCCGGGAAGATCCCACATGCCGCGGAGCTGCTGGGCCTGTGAGCCGTGGCCGCTGAGCCTGTGCGTCCGGAGCCTGTGCTCCGCAACGGGAGAGGCCACAGCAGTGAGAGGCCCGCGTACCGAAAAAAAAAAAAAAATTATAAGGCTCTGACACAAGTTAGATTCATTCAACCATTCCAAAAACCCTCACTGAGTGCCTACCTTTGCCAGGCATGGGGCAAAGCGCTGGGAACACAGAAGTGCTGGGTGAATCCTGCAGGGATACAGGGGAGGTGAGGGGACATGGGACCCCCAAGTGTTGAGCGTCATGAGAAAGAAGTGGTTGTAATTATGATCCTATGAGACTGTGATCATTCATTCTTGGGGGGAGAGGGGGTCAGAAGTGAGGGCGGGAGAGATAAGGAGGAAGAAACAGCCCCTGAGCTTGGGATTCCCCGGTCTGGTTGGAGGGACTCATACCTCTGAAATCGGTAAGTCCTAATATCAACAGCACAGTACCCAAGTGAGCCTGGGCTCTGCCAAGGGCCAGCAGCAAAGGCTGCATGACTGGCGGGGAGCATAGCGTGGGCCCAAGAGTGCCTGGATGATTTAAGGAGCAGAGAGGAGGGGCAGGGTCATCACGCATGCCCAGCGGCCTGAAAGAAGCTGTCCTGCTGGAGAGGGGCAGGGCTCCCTGCATACTGACTCAGGAGACTGAACTGCTGTCCGGGCTCCACAACCCAGTAGCTGTATGACTTTGGGCCACTGACTTTCCCAGCTGTGCCTCAGTTTCCTTATTTGTAAAACGGGCTGATAATAGTACCTACTTCATCAGGTGGTTGTGAGGACTGAGCCAATGCATGCAAAATGCTTAGGATGGTGCCTTGCACATATTAAATGCTCAGTTTATGTTAGCTATAATGATTTTGAAAGGTCTTCGGGGAGAGGGAGGAGAGGAGGGCTGAGCTGCTGCAGCTTGGGCCACTAGGGGATACATATGGCTATAAATGGCTTTATGTTTTGGAGAGCTATATATCTCCTATATAAGAGATATTCCAAAAAGCTGCTTGTCTTCAAACGATTCAGCCAGTCACCAAGTTTCCCTTTGGCTTTCTAATATCTCCAGGGGGTTCCCGTTGCCTTTGTGGTGAGTATTCGTCTGAGGCTCTCTGCTCCCTCTCAGCTTCATCAGCTGCCTCTGCCCCACTGACACCTCAAGCTCCAGCTACATGGAGCTCCAGGCTGTGTCCAGAACGTTCCCCAGGCCTGGGTCTCTGCATGGCTGCTTCCCTCTGGGTGGAACTACCTTCCACACCTTGGCTGATTTCTACTTTTCCTCCAAGATTTGGCGGAGATCAGTGTAAACTTCCAGGGTAGCTCCTTCTATGCTGAAACACGTGCCCTACTCATCCCCTGTTAACCTAGAGGAAAAGGACTATAGTTGATTATTTTTTTCCTATGGAAGCCTAGAAACTGGTACGTAGAAAGTGCCCAATGGCTCTTTAAATAAGGGATTGTGTCGCCTTCTGTTTTCCATCATTTTTAGATACTACTGACTGCTTTCTTCTAGAGTAGCTTTTGGTCTTTTCCTGAAGGGCTCAGGAGCGGCTGTTCAGCTGGGAAGGAGGGTATAGGAGCCCCTGTGTGGTTGGTGGAGACTATTAGGCCTGCTAATCAGAAGACAAAGGGAGTGAAGACTCAAACTTTGCTGGAAAAGTCAGGGAGGAGAGATCGGGACAATACAGGGCACACTCCCAGACTCCTTCTTCCAGGCAAGAGAGATGCCCAGACCAGGGCAGACTTGACCGAAGGCACTTTCCCTGTCTGCTGGGGATGGGTAGTGGTGAGAAACCATTATCCAGGTCTGGCCTCTCTGCCCCTCCATGCTGTTTCCCTGGTTAAGGGATTTCGGAGCCTCCTGCCTTTTCAGAATCTCTCCCTTTGCAGCATTTCTTATGAAGTCAGAATCCCATTTCCAGGCAAAGGTGCTTGGTCATAAAGATAATAAAGATATTCATTCATGATGGAGGGGAAGTACACAGCGGTTTCAGCTGCCCATGGGGCTTCACTTACTCATGGTGTGTGACAGAGGATGAACTCTTGCCCAAGCCTCTTAGATGGGAATGCTGGTGACTGTGGGGTGGTCACAGGAAGCTCTGGCACGTCTCGGTGAACACGAGGTCCCATCCTTGCACACATGATCTCCGTATCCTCCGGGGGCCAGCCTGGGCGTGGGCACTAACGTTGCCATTGTTCTGTTTGGTGGCTGCCTTTGCAGCCAGATGGGTTAGGAGACTGGCCTCAGACCACAGGAGTTGCTCAATACCAAGCCCCAGGCCTCCCTGTGTCTCAAGACTAGTGGGCTTTCTACAGCGCAAGGAGGCACCCTGGGTTCAACTGCCCGGTTGCCTGATATTCCTTATCCCACGTTGATTCTGCTTCTACTACATGCCAGTTAGTTGGGGAAGCCTGGGGATACAATGGTGGGGAAAAGACTGGTTCCTTCCCTCTGGAGCTTCTAGGCTAATGTTGATGGTTACAGGAAATAGGCAGGAGGCAATGAGGTCTCTCCTCTCCTGCCCCCCTTTCTCTTGGACAATTTGGAGAAGATGGGGGGAGTGTCTCACCTGACCTCTTGGAGGCCCTGCCCCTCGCCCCCCAGTGAGTCTCTCCCAGGGCTGGGCTTCCTTGGGCAACTTAGCCCCTCTTAGTTGAAGCCCCTGCCCACCGGGACTGATGGCGGGAGCCGGCCCTGCTGGCCGCAGGGCAATGGCAGGGATGACCTTTCCTGTGCAGGAGGAAAGGTCCGAGGGTCGCATACCAGGCTGACCCCGACCTCTCTCTTTCCTGCTTTAGACAATCCTGAGGGGCGGGCGGGGGAGGCCTGGACAATGGCCCGCAGCCGGAAGCGCCATTCCAGTTTGCAGGCCTTTGTTTCTGCCGGGAGGGGCGGCAGAGCTAATGAAAAGGTTTATGGCTCAGATGTCTGTGAGCAGTGGAGTTCCTTCTGACATTCCAGGCCCAGCTGGCCTCTGGCATTTCCCAGAAAAAGTGCCGAGGGAGGGAAAGAAAACACTTTACCAACCCACGCACTTACCCACCCTGCCTTCTCAGATTCCTCTCCCTTCTGGCACTCGGGCTGGGTCTCAGCTCAGACCCCTGCCCGGGGGCCCCAGTCCTGCACCCACAGAGGGGGTAGGGGGTTGGAGGGTGACTCTAGGAGGGCCTGGAGAGTACGAAGTGTGTGGGGGGTATCTGGGAGGGGAGAGAAGTTTCTTCCACCGGCTCGAAGAAGAATCCACATCTGTTCCAAGTTCGGAGTCGGGGGTAGAAAAGGAGGGGCGCTAGCATCTCGCCAGTTACCTCCCCAGACCCCAAACCAACCAGCCCTGCTCTGTCCCGAGCTGGGATGGGAATAGTCTCTGTTTGCTCTGAAGCGGCTACTGTGCACGCACCCGTGCGTGCCCTTTCCTGCGCCCGGGAACAGACACCGGGGTAGCGGGCAGTTCTGGGAAGCGAGGCTGTGGTGAACCATCTGGGCTGTAATGCAAATGAAGCCTGGACCGGCGCCTGGAGCTGAAGTGGCAGTGCCCCGAGAGGGAGAGCCGGCAGGGGGGTGAGGATGGAGGCAGGCTCCTGGGCTCCAGATGCCCTTGGAGAGCCAGGATGCGTGGGAGACCAGGTGGATGCAGGGGTCCGGCTTGCCCTACAGTAGCCAGCTGGGCTGGCTGCTGGAGCACAGCGGTGGGCAGCCCTCGACCTACCAGGCTTTTGGGTCAGGTGCTGCTTACCCTCTCTCCCCGGGCGTGCACGCAGCATCTGAACTGACCTCCTGGGCCTGCACTCAGGCTCCCTGCAGTGGCAGGGTTGCCACGAAAACCTCCTGAGTCCCCCATCGAGGGGTGTGACACCCCTAGGAAGGTCCCTGGCTCCTCTGAATTTGAAGCACACATTGGCACGCACTGATTCTTGGACAAGTTCAAAGGGATGTGATGTATCCTCTCTCAGGCTCCCAAGGTCCGGAACCAGCCGGGATGGCAGAGAAGTGGCTCAGAAGGAGTGGGAGGTGGGAGTCTCCAGCAGGGACAGAGGTGAGATTCTAAGGTATGACATTGGGGGCTGGCTCTCCGAGTCCCTTGCTTTCCACCTTGCTGCACTCACCTGGCCTCACATGAGTGGAGTTCAGAGTGTCTTCACCTGGGTACGTGAACTGCCCCCCGTCCAGGATTTCATAAGACCCCAATAATTATAAACAAAATGCTGCTGGAAGTCCAGGTTTCGGGGGTAAGTGGACCTACTCAGAGTCGCTTCTTGCTCCTGCAAGACTTACTTTACAAAACCATTCATTCGCTCATTCCTTTTTTTTTTTTTTTTTTTTTGACAGTGCCCCACGACATGGGGGATCTTAGTTGCCTGACCAGGGATCGAACCCGTGTCCCAGCATTGAAAACGTGGAGTCTTAAATACTGGACTGCCAGGAAAGTCCCCATTCATTCATTTCTTTAAGAGGTAACTTTTTTTTTTTTTTTTTTTTTTTTAAGAGGTAACTTTTGAGCACCTGCTATGTGTCAGAGATTGGTCTGCGTGCTTGGAATTTATCGCTCTGGGCCCTCATGGAGCTCAGGCTCTCTCCAGAAGTACAAGGTTCTCCCACAATTGATGTCATGATTAATCAATTTCGACTGTGCTAAGTACTGTGCAGGAGAAGTCACAGGGGCTGTGAGCATATTATGGGGACACCCAGTCTATAGGGGGGCACATCTGAAGGGAACCCCTGAGGAAGGGACACGTGCAGAGTGATGGGAAGCCGAGGTCTGGAGAGGTCACCTCCCCACATCTCCCAGCTTGTAGGTGCTAGGAGCAAGCAGAGTCCGCGACAGGTGCGCCACCAGCATCAGGGCGCCTGGGCTCTGCCACCAAGCATCTTTCCCACTGTCCACTTCTGTCTCATTTGTCACTCTCCCTCCCACCCACTAAAGGCCTTAGTCCCCAGCTTCCGAGCTCAACCTGAGGCAGCTACGCGCAGAGAAGATGGAATATTCGACTCCATTCTACTGTGGGAGGTGGGTCAGGCACAACCTCTAACTTCTGGAACTTTGGAAAGCGAAAAGATGTTTCACGAACAGGCAGGACAGCCTCATGGTTCAACATTCAAAAGGCAAAAGGTACAGATGAACTGTGACCTTCTACAGTTACCCTTCCTCCTGTGGTATCTGGGGCATTTTTTTTTTTTTTTTTTACAGATCAAAAGATGCCTGTGAAGTAGTGAGCTACAGGCTGAAGGAAACCCACAGATACAGTGGTTGACCTGTACAGAATTTAACATTTTTGAGACAACATTTAAAAATCTGGCAATTTCACATCCATATTTGAATTGGGGGCTTTTGGGGAACAATCTGGCAGGTCTGGTGGGCCCTCTAGATGGGACCTGGGCTCTCCAGCTCAGCATAGCCCACCACCCAGGATGACTGCCCTCCCCCCACTCCCCTTCCTGCCAGGAGCTGCAGGCATAGATGTGGCAACTCTACCTGGCTTCTGTCTTCCCACCTCTCTAGGCTAAGGCGTAAGGAGGATGATTGACTTTGGGGGATTTCCTTTGAGTCTCTTTCATAACTTCCGGGAGACTGGAAATAAATCAAGCCTGAGCCTGGGAGTCCGGAGCCTCTTCTCCCACCTGCTGGGGCCTGGTCTGATTTGGCCTCATCTCAACAAGGAGACTTGTCCTGCTGGAGACTCTGGTACCAGTCCTGGGGCACACCTAGCCTCTTGCTTCAAAGCACCATGAGGGCTGGGCAGGGAGAAGCAGAGGAAGGTGGGGCAGGGTGGGGTTTTGCCAGGAAGCCCCCCCAGCAGCTTACCTCCACCACCCATGTGGCTCCTGGGGAGCCTGGGATTCCCTGGGACATAACTGGCCACGGGCCGCAGTGTCTCCCCAAGGGCTGGGCTGCTGGATCACGAGGAGGCCTGCAGCTCCTGGTTGGGGTGGTGCTGGCTGCCTGCCACACCACAAGAGGCTGAGATTCCCCTGAAGCTGAGAGCTGCATTTATCTCTCACCGGGACAGAGAAGCAAACTGGCTTGCTCTGCCCAGGAGGCATTTCCAGAAATCTGGGCTCTGACTTCTTGCTGATGAAATGCCAGATTATCCTGGGCCTCTTTGTGGCAAGAGAGCCATTGAGCAATAGGTATTTTGTTTTGCAGATGACAAGATTTTTGACACTGAAAAGTTTAAATGACAAATGCAAGAACCTTGACCGCTTCTCCACCCCTACCAGCAAGGTTGCTGGTTTGAACTCAGTGTTTGGACAAGTTGTTCTTCACAACCCGCAACTCCAACTTCCTCAGGTCCCTGGTGCCAGAAGACCTCATCTCTCCCTGTTTTAGGGCCATACAAGCCCGGTGGGGCCCATGCCAGGTCCACTGCTGCAGCCCAGGGAAAAGCCATTTTCTGAAACAGACGTTGGCAAACTATGGTGCAGGGCTGGCAGGATGCTTTTGTAAATAAAGTTTTATTGAAAATACAACCACACTCATTTCTACTGCTTGTGGCTTTTGCACCAGACTTGAGACTGAGACTGGCCCCCAACGTGTGAAATATTTACCACTGATCCCTTTAAGAAAACATTTGGCAATCTCTGCTCTGGGGGAACAGACGCCTGTCTCATGCCAGGGAGGACTGGGGTCAGGTCTTAGTTTTGGGGGGGAAGAGTATCAAGGGCTGGAAAAGATCAGGGTAACAGCTCAGTGGGGAGAGCATATCCCAGGGAGAATGAAGGCAGGAAAAGGGCTGGTGGCCTGAGGGGAGACCGAGGGCTCTGTGAGCTGCCACATTTGCAAAGTGATCTGTGGCAGCAGGTCAGTAAAATCCCAGGAGGCCAAGCCACCATCGCCCCACCCTTGGCGGAAAAGCACAAGCTGGCTGGTTCCCTCCTGCAGCCGGGAGGCTCCAGAGCTCACACCTCCCGCCATGCATGCACTTATCAAACCAGCATGAATGAGTCGGCTTCTGGTGCCAGGTCCTCTTCTGGGTGCTCGTGCCTCAGTGCTCTAAGGCCTCAGATTTGGGGGCGGGCGGGGGGTGGCACAGGAAGACAAAAGACACAGCAATCAACCAATGAATAAGATTAGATCACAGTTCTTAATAGAAAGAAAATACAATCCTGTTATGGGGCCAGGAGGGCCTTTCTATGGGAGGGAGAGCTTTAGACAGAGCTCCGAAGGATGGGGGGTGGGGAGCAGTGGTGGAGGACATTGTAAGCAGACAGAACAACTAACACAGAGATCCTAGGACAGCAATGTGTGTGGGGAGTTTGAAGGGTGGTAAAAAGGCCAGGCTGGTGAGGCGGGGCGGTGACGGAGTAGGAGAATGGAGGGGGAGGCAGGCTGTGGCCCCAAGGCTGGTTTCATGCCATCCTTAGTACCTAGGCTGCATTCCCTACAAAACAAGAGTGCGCTCCTCAGAGGCAGCCCATCAGCCCCCAGGTCAAACTAACCTAGGAGAGTTTCTCATCACCGAGGCAGGAGGTGGGCTGGCCAGCCCCTTCCTCCCTCCTTCCTGGATTTGCAATAGCCCTGTGTTTGGGAGAGACCCTTGCTCACAAAGCAAGTTCTGGAAGGAAGGGCTTTCCTCTCACACTGGCATGATTTTCGGTCCAGGGAGTGAATCACAGACAGTGAGGCACGGGCCCTTAGCTCAGGACTTCCTGGTGTTTCCTGCCTGGGAGAGCAGCCCTGCTATCAGGGGCAGCAGCCCACCACTCCCTGACGTCAACTCTCCTTTTCATGAATGGGTTTCCTTTTCCGTTTGGGAAGACATGATCTCGGTCATCAGTCCATCGACCCTGTCATTCTCACCCTAGCACCTCCTGTTTGGGAAGAAGCAAGCAGGCTAACGAGAAGGCAGTGGGTGCAAACAGGAGGATGAGGGAGACTCAGCGGATGGGCTTCCGAGCCACCGAGGGGTTTCAGAGGACAGATGCTTTCTCGTCTGGGGTCATCAAGGTGTGACTTGAGAACTCCCAGCAACTGTCGTCGTGTCTGCCCAGACTGCCTGTCCTCCAAGCAGCTTGGGGGTGCTCCCAGGCAGACTTTCTGGGCCACCTGTGTTAGCATGACTTACCTCCTCTACTTATTCTCCCTAACTAGTCCAGATGAGACTTCTTGGAGGAAAGAGTGCTTGTGTGCTGTCATCATGTAAAAATGTAACCGTCTAAAATATTGCTCAATCCCTGAAAACCATTATTTAAAATTTTTGCAACTCTAAATGTGTGTGTTGTAGGGCAAAGTCATAGTTGCCTCACTCTGGTTGTAGCTCGGACTGTTTCAAAGTAGCCAGGAAGGCCAGAGGCCCTCGGTGTGTGGCTTCAGAAAGGACTGGGGTCATTGTCTGCTGTTTATACTTAATGTAAATACTCCTTAGTTTAACTTACGGTACTGTCAATATCTCTGTGTGCTACTATAGTTTACTTTAGATCAGAAATTCCCAGTGGGATGGTACTATGGCTGTTTGTCTCAATACCTCTCCCAGCAAAGCATCACATTGCGCAAAGAAGCTGCCAGCTCTTTTCAGGACGGTTAGGATGCTCCTGTGGTCCACGTGGTACTCATTGCCCAGCATCATGGTGCAGCCATTCAGCACCTTGACCCTGCAACTACCCTGTGCCAGGCATGGTGCAAAAGTGGAACCAAGCAAGGGATAGTTTCATTCTAGTTCCTGGAAATTAGGCAATTTGATGATTCACCACTTCTCACTTGGAAGAGTTGAATCAAATTTCGCCCTGTATTTGTAAAGCTATCTGAACTTAAAGGAAAAATTAAAATCTGAAGTACTCTCTGATTGTAAACAATTTGGAAACTCTTAAATAGCACCAAATAAGCAATGTTAACGTTTTGGTGTATTTAGTTTCAGTCTGTCTGTACCCACACTCTCAAATTTTTAACAAAATGGGATAAACTCTATACTACTCTTTGAAATCTAGATTTTACTCTTAATTTCATTAACCATTCTTTTTTTGTGTGTGTGTTACGCGGGCCTCTCACTGTTGCGGCCTCTCCCGTTGCAGAGCACAGGCTCCGGACGCGCAGGCTCAGTGGCCATGGCTCACGGGCCTAGCCGCTCCGCGGCATGTGGGATCTTCCCGGACCAGGGCACGAACCCATGTCCCCTGCATCGGCAGGCGGACTCTCAACCACTGCACCACCAGGGAAGCCCGAGATGAACATTCTTGTAGGGAATGTATAATTCATTTCCTCGGGTAATTTGTTGAAAGCAGAATTCGGAATGTTTTGTATCCTGTGTGTCCATATCCTTTTAACCACACAACACCTCCCCTCACCACCATAAGTAGGATATGATTATCTCCTACAGCTTTTCCAGTTTCCAAGTCCCAGCCTCTGTGGACCCTGCCAAGGAACCACATGATACAGATGAGAGTCATCCGTTACCTTTTTAAAATCAGCTACAAAAAAGTGCTCTTGGCTGTAGGGATGAGCTCCTTCAGCCTCTTTGGCCATGGAGCCGTAGTTCCCAGGGGCGGGTTACAGCGTGTGTATGCATTTGGGCGCATGGGGAGGTTGGAGGGGTCTTTACAGCATCTAGACTGGGTGAGCTGCTCTGTGCCCTGGAGCTGCAGGCCCAGGGCTGACAAGGTGAAAGATGGTCCCGCCTGGGTCTGGTGGGGATTTTCCGTTCTCAGTGCGCCCGGGTGAGTCAACGGTCACCCACTTCTGTACATCTTAGCTAACACCTTGGAGCAGGGGCTCGGCCTGTCAGGTCCAGCCTGAACTTGGTCGTGGGGTCTGACAGGTGATGCCCCTCACTCTCCACCCCCATCCGGTATCAAGACCGAGTCAGGGGATGCTGGTGCCCGCGCCCTACTCCTCCACGGCCTGGTCCCTGCGTGCAGCACACCTGCGTCCCCCTGGCGGGAAACTGAGGCTGCGGGGTGGGTCCGCCTCCCCTCCAGGCTCCCGCGCGCCGCCCGTGTCCGCGCGCGCGGTTGTCAATAAAGTTCTCGCGCGCCGGAAGCGGAAGCGGCGAGTCTCCATGGCGGCGGCGGCTACGGCGGCGGCGGGGCCGGTGTTCTGGAGGCGGCTGCTGGGCCTCCTGCCTGGCCGCCCTGGGCTGGCCGCTCTCCTGGGGCGCCTGTCCGACCGACTCGGCAGGAACCGGGACCGCCGGCGCAGGAGGTGAGAGAGCGGTGGGGCTGAGGGCGTGCCCGGCCCCGACCCTCATTCCGCGCTCCCGGCGTCGCGGTGAGCTCTCCGTGTCCCCGCGCGCGGGCCCGCCCGGCCCCCGCAGTCCCGCCTCGCCGCCGGCCTTCCCGGGGTGGGGGACCCCTCCCGAAGTCGGTCGGGCCGGCCCGGGGCTGAGGGGGGCGAGCCCGGCCTCCGGCCTCCGGCCTCGTACGGTGGAGCGAAGGGGCTGTGTGTGCACACCCGGGGCGGGGGGATGAGTTCGTGCGTTGCTTTGGGCCCCGGGGTGTGTGTGTTGGAGAGTCTTCGCGAGAGACACTGTTTGGGTCCGGAGGGGTCTTTTCCTTAAGTAATCCTAGCTGCGAGGTGACTTGACGGGAGTGAATCAGCCCTGCTGGGATTCTGTGCCTGCAGCATTTCTCACATCCTGCCAGAGAGGGCTGTGAAGCAATCCTGAGTCAGGAACACTCAGGCCAGGGAAGAGGAACCACTTGAAACCCCTTTTACCCTTTGCAAAGGGCCTGTGTTCTGGAAAAGTACTGAAGTGAGTTATGGAAATAGTGAAGTAGGCTTTGAAGCAGTTCGTTCAGGCAGTGGTCTATCGAAGTAAACATTTGCCAAGTACATGCTGACCTAAGAGGCCTGCTGCTGTTGCTAATATTAAAAAAAAAAAAAAAAAAAAAAAGACTTATGTGCAAGTAGTTTTCTTGTTGGAGAGACTCGAGCCTTACGCTTGTTTCTTAAGAAAAAAAATCTTGGAACTGCGTCTTTTTGCAGAGTTTGCGCCTTAGATTTTTATCTGCTACTAGGGTGAGATGTGACCTTCTGGCCTTTGGTAGAGAGATCTGTGGTCCAGTCATGTGTGCTGATTCTAGGTATGGAAAGGAACTTGCTTCTTATTGGGTTACTTTGGAAGATTTTCAGCAAAAATTCAGGTTTCACTTAGGGGAACTTTTTGTGATAGAATCAGCCCAGGACGGAACTCTTGGAAGCTTACTGATCAGAACGGCTTTAAGTTTCACATCAGTGAACCCGGTGGGAGTGGGGTGTAGAAGAGGTGGCCTCTGTTCTCTGTAATTGGTGCTTAGCAAAGACCTGTTTATTCCAGTGGGTAGTGAAGTCAGATGACTTCTACGTCCTGGTATCAAACCACTGAGAAATTTGGTTTAAAGTTTCAAAAAATGTTCTCAAGGACGAGATGTTTAGGCCATTTTGTCATTTCCCTTGTATGTATTTAAACTATACAGAAAAGTACTTCATGATTAATCACTGTTTAACATTGGAGCTGATTACTAAAGGCTGTTGGGGCAATCGCCACAAATTCTTTTAAGAAAGACATTTCTCTTGAGTGTTTTTCTGCAGGGGGGGAGGGCAGTGTGGCCGTGGGGATAGTCTACATTGACTTCTTAAAAGTCTTTTTTGTAAATAGCATTAGTGGATGCAGGACTTGTGGCTCCATATTTCTTCTTGATTAAGTTGGTTAAGGCTGTGGGTCAAAAATTAAACCAGGAACTCAGTTAAATCACAGACATAGAAACACAAATGTCAGATATTTGCGTCTTTTACTCCTTGGAGGTGATGCCTATGCTAGGACGGAGGATAAATGTTTTGAGCAGTATTACTACAGTACTGTGGGGTTCTGACCCTTTCTTTGCCTTATTTGGTTTGCAGATGTTTTCTGCTTCTCTGTGGCCTGGCTGTTTGGGGTTACTCATGTCTGTATGGCCGCTCACCTCCAGTGGCTGCTGACTTTCGTTTCTTCTCTATTGTTCAGTTGCACCAACCAATTCCTCATTCCCCGAATGATGTGGTTTCTTGTAACTCTGATCATTGATTCATTGATAATAGTTCTGTGTAGCCATGAACTTATTTTAGATTTTAGCTTGCCAGTCTGACTCAACTGTTGGAGTGCCTGGTGAATCCTCGTGACTAGCAAGGGGAGTGGTGAGAGGGAACAGTTCTTTACTGCAGTGGTTTCCTTTCAATTATAGAGACAGCCATAGTGACAGAGAACTCTATTTAAAATTAATTCTAGGGGCTTCCCTGGTGGAGCAGTAGTTAAGTATCTGCCTGCCAATTCAGGGGACACGGGTTCGAGCCCTGGTCTGGGAAGATCCCACATGCCGCGGGGCACCTAAACCCGTGTGCCACAGCTACTGAGCCTGCGCTCTAGAGCCCGTGAGCCACAACTGCTGAGCCCGTGCACCACGACTACTGAAGCCCGCGCACCTAGAGCCCATGCTGCAACAAGAGAAGCCACGGCAATGAGACTCCCGTGCACCGCAACAAAGAGTAGTCCCCCGCTCACTGCAACTAGAGAGAGCCCGCGTGCAGCAACAAAGGCCCAAAGCAGCCATAAATTAATCAATTAAAAAAAATTACTTCTAATTAGTGATTTGGAAATACTGCTGTTTTTTCTTAAGCAGGCATCTGACTCATTACCGTGGACAGCTGGATTCATTCACTCATTCAGCATGCGTGTATAGAGCACAGCTGTGCTGTGCTAGGTACCAAGGGAACATACATAGTCCCACCTTCATGGTGCTCAGACCCATAAACAGACAATAGTAAAGTAAGGTAGGAAAGGTCATGGCAGCACTAAGGCACACCTGGAAGTCACAGAAGGCTCCCGGGCGGTGATGATCTTGGAGCTGTGTTTTGGAGGCGTGTAGGAGTAGGCTAGGTGAGGAAGTGGGGAGCCAGTGTTCAAGGAAGGATAGTGAGTGATGTAGGTTGATGGTGGCAGCGGCGGTCTAGGCCTGAGGGGGTGGGGCTTGTATGAAGTCATGGACAGTGGGAAGAGAAGAGAGGGCTGGACTGGAATCAGCTCTGGTGGGGGTGTGTAGCGGGGTGCTGAGGAGGTAGCTCATGTTTCTGACTTGGGTGACTACATGGATGGTGGCATGCTTCACTAAAACAGGGAGCGAGAAAGAGGACCAAGTTTGGGGGATGACGATAAGGTGAGTTCAGGGCATGTCCATTCGTATCCAGGTGGGTCCAAGTGGAGGCGCTCACTGTTCAGGTGAAGGGCGGGTCCGGCGCTCAGGCGAGGAAGACAGAAACTTCAGGTAGTTTCTTGGAGTCATCAGACTACACAGAATTGACTTGTTATTTGGGGTATGAGACCTGGTGGAAAATGTGTCAAGAGGGCGTTAGTTCCTAACTGAGTTTGCTGCCATACAAGGAAATATTTTCTCTGTGGTCTCCTTTTTCTTTTTTTAAAAACTATTTTCAATTTGAGCTATGTGTGCAGAAAAGTCTTTATTTTTGAAACCCAAGTTCTATTTTCTTTATTTTAGGTGTGTGTATGTGTGTGTGTGTGTGTATGTGTGTGTGTATTTGTGTGTATGTGTGTGTGTGGGGTGGTGGTGGGGTGTCCTAACTTTCCCGAGTGTAAGAGGGAAACATAACCAGCAAACTGTTCTTTTTATTAGGCTTCCTTACCTTGTAATGCCAGCTCAACATACTCTTATTCTACTTCTTAGTGGTTTCTACTCTGAGGGACCACCAGGTTTCCAGAAATTACTTTTTCTCTGAGTTTTCTGATGCTGGGACCCAGTCCTCCTTATTCATTAGAGTTCAGTAGCGCCACCTCTTGTATTATAGCAGTAGAATGGGTGGGAGGGGGGATATTTAGAATCAAAGCATGATTTCCCCAAATAATTCAAATTTGATCTTGCAGAGAATTAAAATAAGATTTGCAGCTGACTGACTTGTAAATTGTAGCTTTATTAGGTTCATATTGACCTGAGTACCCTCTGAGCACATTGCTGCTGCTGCTGAAGTAGGCTGGTCAGTCAGCTGTGTGCTCATAGATAGAAACTAGCCTGGGATTGAAGCGGTCTGATAGATAATTCCCTTGTAAACACGTGATCCGAGTAATGTAAATTACTCGTTTTCACTGCCGGGAAGTCAGGCTGGTTGCAGCAGTTTGGATTAGTAGAACGTGTGAGTGGTTCTCGGCAGGCACTTGGCTATGCCTGGTGCCTTTGGCTACGGAGGTGTGTTGTGGGTTATAAGTATATGTTAGGTTTCTAGCCCCTCGATGTAATCGACTTTCTTTTGGACAAGCCAAGAGGAGAGTCAGCGTGTTGCCACATGCTGGCAGCCCCGGCCTCGTGCTGGCCTTGAGGGAGCAGCCATTGGTCTTCTGTGACCTACGGGAATTCACACTCATTTCCCTTACTTGGGTTTAGGTCTTGCGTTAGTCAGGAAGGGCTGCCTGCTGCTGGGGCTGCAGGAAGTTTCGTCCTTTCGTGTAGTTTTTCGAGCCTTTTTCAGGAAGTGTTATGACTTGGTCTTTTCTCATCACTTCACCTCTTTACGTTTAAATGTGTGTGACGGGGGGAGGGTGGGTTTTTCTTAAAAAGTAGTTTCTGAAAATATTGCAATCCGGAGAGCTCAGTTTCTTTTAAAACCTTCTTTCTTTTTTCGTCGTTTTGTACAGATTTGGGTGGGATACAAACCACAGAGTGTGTACCACGAACCTTATAGTCCCTGGAGAGCTCGTGGACCTTTAGACCATGACCCTGAGTGCAGGACACTTAATTAGTGCCCTGGCGTGGTACAGGGGACAGAACTCTTGTGCTGTCCATGGTGGATTTGTGGTTAGTGTAGGAGATAGTCCTCCGGCATCACCGTTTTCTTCCTTCAAAGCCCTGCAGACCCTGTTTTGAAAAGACGCTAGGAGGTGGGCCTGCTTCCTTGTGTCCCAAAGGGTGGGTGACACCACTGTGGCCCCAGGGGAAGCACCTGTGTCCTCTGAAGCCGTGAGAGCTGTGCGGGGCCTGGTGGAGGTGAAGTGCAGACCCAGGTGGAACTCTCTGGCGTTGCCTTTCCTTAGTAGCGCCTCCACTGCCCCCGTGAGAGCTCGGTTGGACCTCCAGGCGCACTGTTGTGCATCCTGACGAACGGAGAACGCAAGGTGTGGCAGTATTTTTCCATGGAGCACTTGCAGCTTCAGAATGTTTGGTGGAATGGAAGACTCCTGTCTCTGCACACAAAGGAGAAATGCCTTCTCCCGTTTTCTGAAGCTTCCCTTGCACATAGCTGTGTTCGCGGCCTCTCAGCAGCCGTTCTGCTCTCGCTCTTTCGGTTTGACTGGCTACTCTGAACTCAAGTCCCGCTGCGGTCCTGTGCCTCTCATGAGTCGGGTGGGTGCATCGTCCTGTCTAGGGCAGGCTTCTGCTGTCCCTGCTTTAATGGTGGCCCCCGGACCATGGACAAGAGTGTTACTGCATGCTGTTCTTGGTCAAGGCAGTCCAGATATGGATTCCTTTTAGAGATGCTGAGAAGAAACTTCCCTCTCTTCCCCACTGCCCTCCCACTCCATACTCACTGTGTTCTCCTAGCGTCACCCCCCCCCATCCTCTCACCCCATTCCCCCAGGCCCCTCTCCAGGTGGAGGGAGTGGCCCCAGGTCAGGGGTCCTCAGCACTTAGGCCCAGCCCACTCTCCAGCTCAGGGAATTTGTTTGCAAATTTCATAGGAAGCCCTAAATCACCTGGCTGAACCTTTCCCCAGAGTCAGGTGTCTGTGTGGGTGGTGGCTGGAGCCCACCCTTTGGAGAGGATGCTGTCAGTTTCACCTTCAGAATTGTGGGCGGAGGATTGTTTTGCACTGTTGTTGCCGCCTCTGCCACCCGCTGAGGGCTGTAGCAAAGTAGTTAGGCTTGCCTGAGTTCAAGTACCAGGGCGCGTCCCTGATCTGGCCTTAGCTCTGTCCTCCAAACTTCCCTGATGATCCGGAGTAAAGGAGTGAGAGGGCGGCAGAACCTTATTATCTGGCCCCCCAGCCCCTGCCACTTCCTCCTCCCTATAACTAGAAATGGGAGCTCCATGTTATCTAGAAAGAGATGATTCAGGGGAGTGCAGGCCTAGATGTGGAAAATGTGTGTGTGTTTGTTTAGTTCTCTAAATGGTGAGTGTGACAGCCCTGCTTTTTTTGTAGAGTAACCACAGCTCCCTGCCTCCTCCTGTCTCTTGGGGGTTAGGGTTTTGACCCGGGACAGCTGCCTGGAGGGGGAAGTTGCTTGTGCAGGTGGTCGGCCCCTGGAGGCTGGGATTACTGTGCAGCAGGGGCTGTGGCTGGCACGGGGAGAAGTGTTTTCTGAGAAGATTCCCAGGCGTCTGTCATGGAAAGCGGGAACTCACCCCCGTGGGGATCTGGCTGAGATGCACGGAGAACGTGAGCCCCTGCGCTGTCTCCCACGGAGACTGGCTGCTTCTGCCCCGGCCCAGGTGCTGCAGTTAGATTTTGAGTGTCTGGGCTCTGGATGTGGTCTCCCCACCTTTGCCGACCTTGTGGGGCTTTTATAAAACTCTGTGCTCTTTTTCCAAGCACCTTCCTCTTTGGAATGTGAAGTTACCACCTGAGGGTTGGGTCTTCTCCACGATGAATCCCTGAAACCTAATAGGTTTTCAGTTCTTCTCCTGTCTAACAAAAATAAACCTGTCAGTACACAGGTTAAACAGGAAGTAACATAAAAAAGCCCTCAGCAGATCTTGGACTGAGGCCCTGATCTGGACTTGGACTGAAGCTTCCCAGGAGAGCTGCCCGACAGGCCCGCAGCCTGCCCGCGGTGGCCCAAGGCCAAGCCTGTCCTGCCGAGCCCCTCTCCTGGGTGGCAGGGCCTGACCCCCGTACAGTCACTGTGTGTCTTCTCTGGACTGCCTGTTGAGCCCCTCCTGGGTTTTTCTGGCGCTGGTGGGTTTTGGCAGTTCCTGCCTCTTCCCTTTGCTCGCACCTCTCCTCGCCTGGAGCCCCCGCACTTACTGTCTGAATCCCACCGGGCGATCAAAGCCCATTTGGAGGGACGGTGTTGTGAGGCGTCCCCAGCAGCTCAGGCATCAGCAGCTCCCCTTTTTGGTCATTTGAAGCACATCTACCATATGTATATTTTGACCTTTCCTTCATTAGCCTTAGCATTTTCTTTTGTGTTCTTAGATGATTTCAGGTGTGTACGCTTGTGAGGCCACCAGGTTTGTGGGCAGTGGTGCCCAGGCCGGCCGTGCCTCCCCCGTACACCATCAGTGCTCACATGACCACTTGGATTGAGGCCCAGGTTGGCACTTGCCCTCTCCTGGGTTGCTGTGTGCCAAAGAGGTGTTTCCTCATCTTCCTTTTTGGGAGCGGCTCTGAGTCTGTTGGCTCATCTGAAGAACGCGTGGGGACTGACTGCATGGCCTGGGTTGCCGGCGACACCCTGGATACTTTTTATATGGTCTGAGCGATAAGTGCTGTGAGATTGGGAGATCAGTTGATCTTACAGCGCTGTGGGGTTTTCCTCCTCAAACAGACTATGTTTAATTAATGAACATTAGACTTTAGCCCCACTTGGCGGCTTCTCGTTGATAGATTGTTGTGCACCTTTCCCGTTCTCATGCTTTTCCGTTGGACTGAAGGCGCTCCCTCTCCCCTCTGGAAGGTAGCCTTGAGCACAGCAGGAGCATGGCCTCCACTTTGGGGAAATCGAGGTCGCAATCCCTTGTTTACACGTCTAGGCCTTTCATTTGCTGCTTGTTACCCGGGAGCCAGAGGAGACGTGTAGCAAGCTGATGCCCGGGAGTGTGGTCCCCACCTCTGCTCGGAGGCCCATGGTGAACCCTGGCTTCCCAGGGTCCAGACCCGGTGTCTTCCACCCGCTGACTAAACTTTTCTTGGCAATGAGTTGCCGTGACAGCCCGGTGGGCTTTCTGGGAAGCACAGCTGCAGGCCATCTGGCGTGTGTGTAGGGACATTCAGGAACCCTGGGAAGATTCAGCGTTTTATCAGGAGGCAAGTGAATGAAATCATCTTCCTGGAATTTGTGGCCCTTCAGGCCTTGGGGTGTTTAAGCGTCCTTTCCCTAGAGCCCCTCTTGAGGCCGTGGTGAAGGTCGCGCGCTGAAAAGGATTTTCCTGCCGCTCTTTGCTGGAAGTCAGATGAGGGGCTGGTTAGTGTGGGGCTCTGGGTGTGCACTGCCCTCCCCCGGCCCCTGCAGGTGTCTCGTCATCCGGACAAAGATGAGGCTCAGTGGGCAGGGGACTGTTTACTGCGGTCTTGGCCTCAGTGGACGGGAACCAGCCAGAGACTGGGTGTGACCTCTGAGGAGAATGTGTCCAGGGGTGAAGGGGCAGTTGTCGTCACTGCCGGCCCCTCTTGAGGTGACCTCTTCCAGTGCCAGCTTTTCTCTCTGTATCCTAGTATTAAAGAGAAAACTTAATTTTTTCTGGGTCCTTCCTTGAATAAAAGCCCATTTATCTCATCAGTGAGACAACCGGGGGTCTGGGTTGTACTCACCAGCCTGAGACCAGACCTGCCCTTGCAAGCAGCCTTTGGCGGCTTTCTGCGGGTGGGTTCGTTGGGGCCATTAACCAGGCGATGGCTTTTCTGAGTTTACTTGTGGCTGCTCTAAATTTTGAGTTGTTTGGAATCAGCGTAAAGTTTGGGGTTTATCCATAGGCTTTGGCAATTCTTAAGTTGCTCAACTTGTAGGGGCTGAAAAATTCTTTTACAGAGTTTGACTGGGGCTTTCTTAAGATGGTCTAGGAAATCTGAAGTTCGCCCCCCCCCCCCACCCCCCCACCCCGAAAAATTCTTATTTGCCCACAGGAGCTGAGAGAGACTTGTGAGGAAGTATTTGAGAAGTGTGACCCTTTGTATGTCTCTTTTCCCAGGCCACCATGGCTGTTGTTGGCGCCTCTGCTGTCTCCAGCTGTCCCCCATGTCACCTCGCCTCCTTGCTGCCTGTGTCCGGAGGGTGTGCATCGCTTCCAGTGGATCAGAAACCTGGTTCCAGAGTTCGGAGTCTCCAGCTCTCACGTCAGGGTGCTTTCTTCACCTGCAGAGTTTTTTGAGCTCATGAAGGTAAGTTGTGTCTAAGAGAGAGGGTCAGACATGGAATTAGAGGTTTGGGGGCATAAGGTTGGCCGAGTCCTGGGCTGAAGCACCTTGTGTTCTAGACACTTTTGATGGCTGCTCAGCTTATTCCTGCGGGTTCCACCTGTTAGGTTTCCGCTTCACAGATGGCTGAGTTGAGCCGTGATCAGAAGCTCTCCTGGGTGGCTGATGTCTCAGGTGGAGCAGCTCAGAGCTTGCGGGCACTGAGGGTCAGGTCCTAGGTTTTGTTTCTTGTGACAGATTGATTCCCTTCGTTCCGTGTTGGAGATGTAGGCTAGGCGGGAGGTTAGTGAGAGCTTGGGGACCTCAGCAGGCACGTCCCCGCTGAGGACGTCTGGGAGGGAACGAACCTCATTCTGGTTAGGGCATGGCAGACTCCTGCCCCGGCAACGGCTCCAACACACAGTAGCTCCATAGAGTAGATGACGGGAAATGGAGACATAATGACCTGTGGATGGGATTTGATATGTAGGAAGTGGCTGGGAGCCTCTCAATTCAGTGGAGAGTACTTACAGGTAACTGGAAAGTCTGGATGTCTGGTTTTAGGTCTCGTGATCCTGGTTCTTTTCCGTAATTCTGTCTAAAGTTTGTACCTTCTCTCTCTTGGTAGAGATGCTAAACTTCGCATTTGGCGGGGTTCGGCTTTCAATACATTAGTCAGGTGTTCATGCCACGTCTAGTTATTTGTGGTTAAACTGCTCATTGGAATGAAGTAATTAAACGCTAATTAATTTTTAGTTACATGAATTCTGAGTTTGTATTAATTCAGTGATGTTAGAATTAAGGTATGATGCGGTCAGAAGTGCTGGGACATAACAGGAAATATATGTAGATGTTCCTTTTTCTGCACAACAAACTCTAGTTCATTTGAATGCTTGCACATTTTCTCTCCTTTGCCCTGTTGTTCTGTAGATCCACTCTTAGCTTAATTTCCGGCTGGCTCATTCTGGTATGCTGTGTGTGTGTGTGTGTGTGTGTGTGTGTGTGCGCGCGCGCGCACATACATGCATGCATGCTCTCCCCCACTTCCCTACACTGCTTGACTCTCCTGTGTGTCCTTGTTTGTGTAGAACTGATGCTGAGGCTGTTTGCTCTTTACTCCTACTTGGTTCTCTGCTTGGCTTGAAGAAACAGGTTTTTCAAAGGAGGTGGTTCTTAGTGTCCCAATCAACTCCGGGTGAAGGATGGACTGAGTCTCCACATGGGGGTCCCCTGGCCTGGAGGTGAGGCCATGCGGCGCCTGGAGGGACGCGTGAGGGGCTCAGCCCAGCAGGCCAGGAGGAAGCCGAGGCCACCGTTCCCTGCCTTCTGCACTGAGTCATGGGCGGGTTCTCCGGCAAGTTCTGTGTGGAGCGGGATGTGTTTCTTCCTGGGACAGAGTGGCCCGTGTTCCCTGAGAAGAGAGTGCAGCGTGGTTTCTGCCTGGGCCCAGGCCTTCGTGACAGCTGAGCTTGTACCGGAGGACCTGGTGCCGTGGCAAACACTTGCGTAGACTTTTGCTGCCGAACTTGATTGCCTCACACTTCACTTGTTTTCCTCTCCTTCCTGTCTTCATACTCACTTTCCCCACAAGCAACCATCTGAATAAATAACAAAACGAAGGAAACAGCAAACATAGGAAGTTCTTTTGTTTGTTCCTTGCATATAAGCCTTTCCCAGTGGTGTGTTGGTGTGTTTATCTAGTCAAGATGCCCCTCTTCCTCCGTCGACAGTGCAGGCTGTGGGGGCCATGTGGGAAAGCCAGCACGTGTGTGTGTCCTGCCTCCCCGGTGCCCTCGCCAGCTTGCCCTGAGGGTGGTGCTGCCCTTCTGCCTGCTCTTGACCTCCTCTGGGGCCTGGCCGCGCTGGTGAGGGGTCTGGTGTACTCCCATGGCTGGATCAGGTCTAGGGAGAGGATGCTGGCTATTGGAACTGATGCATCATCTTTGAATGTTGGTGTGTTCTGTTTGTGTGTCTAGCTAGGTACCTGTCTGTCTGCATCTCAAAACTGTTGCATGCTTGGGACTTCCCTGGTGGCGCAGTGGTTAAGAATCCGCCTGCCAATGCAGGTGACACGGGTTCGAGCTCTGGTCCGGGAAGATCCCACATGCCGTGGAGCAGCTAAGCCTGTGCTCCACAACTACTGAGCCTGTGCTCTAGAGCTACTGAGCCCGCGTGCCACAACTACTGAAGCCCGCATGCCTAGAGCCCGTGGTCTGTAACAAGAGAAGCCACCGCAATGAGAAGCTCGTGCACCGCAATGAAGAGTAGCCCCCGCTCACCACAACTAGAGAAAGCCCGCGTGCAGCGACGAAGACCCGACACAGCCAAAAATAAACATAAATAAATTTATTTAAAAAAAAATTACATGCTCATTATAAAACCCCAGCTGTGCAGACGGGGCTGGAGTGCAAGTTTGCCCCCGCGCTCCCTCGTCTGGCTCTGCTCCTCGGACACACACACACACACACACACACACACACACACACACACACACACA